CAAATGAATTTGAGCTTGAACCACTGCGTCAATTCCAGTACCATCAATTATCCTTCGTTCGGCTTCCTTCCATGTAGTAAAAGCTGTGCGGTGGCTAGGATTGTTTTCATGAGAATTTAGTTTTTCTGGCTTTCTCCACTTGTTGAAACCGTTAACTCAAACGAAGCTCGTGAGTTTGAACTCAATGTAAATAATAGACAACAGAAACAGTAAGCAGCTTTATTGATTGGTGAATATAATAGCCACGAACGATTCACTTGCTCTCCGTTCGCTAGTCGGCGTTTAAACCATGCTGATGTAATTGAACGTTCTCTGGATACTGATGATAAGATTGTCTCTGTGCTGCAAAGGCAAGGATCCGAGAGTAATCATTTAATTGCGAAGAGGCTGTGATATTTTCGATAGCCTTGTCGTTTTATCAAATTCTAAGTAGCCAACATCGTGAAACCTTAGTACAGCAGGAACAGCATCATAATGAGTATTTTCAGCTTCTCTATCAGAAGATTATTTTATCTCATCTTCCCCGTTACTGTCAACAAGTTCATCATCATGTCGTAATTTCCGCCATCAAAAAACAGGCCAGTGACTAAGGTTGAAATACTGCGCCTGTCTGTTGTTTGGGACGTTCTTCCATGTAAGTTTTTAATAGGCGCGCATACCAAAATGTAATTACATGACATGTAGGCTGTGTGTGGCGGGATATATAAACTTTTAGGTAGAGGTGTATATTTGTGCAGTAGTTTCAGGCTGCCGCGCCCGCCGCAATAAGTTATAATGTAATGTTGTAAGCCTCATTTTGGCGCCCCTTTATCTTGGCGCCCGGGGACATATGTACCCCCCTGCCCCCCCCTAGCTACGCCTCTGACCTGGCCATCGCAAATGATAGCTCAACCAAGTGGCTTATCGCGTGGTAATGTATAGCAGCAGCCAAAAGCATAGAATCAGAGAGCCATAGAGACCCACAGAGATCCTAAAACTCACGTAGCACCAATGAGACCCACATAGACGCATAATAATCTTAACGTGTAATGTTAATTCTAAATGTGGAGGCGAGAGATAACATCTCGCAGGGTTAAAATCGAAATCGCGATCTCCTGCATACCAGGCGAGGTAGTTAACATCTCACAGGATCCGTGGTCTAACCCACGACCTCCTGGATACCAGGCGAGGTAGTTAACATCTCACAGAATCCGGGATCTAACCCATGACCTCCTGCATACCAGGCGAGGTAGTTAACATCTCACAGGATCCGTGGTCTAACCCACGACCTCCTGCACACCAGGCGAGGTAGTTAACATCTCACAGGATCCGGTATCTAACCCACGACCTCCTGCATACCAGGTGAGGTAGTTAATATCTCACAGAATCCGGGATCTAACCCACGACCTCCTGCATACCAGGCGAGGTAGTTAACATCTCACAGGATCCGGGATCTAACCCACAACCTCCTGCACACCTGGCGACGTAGTTAACATCGCACAGGATCCAGGATCTAACCCACGACCTCCTGCATACCAGGTGAGGTAGTTAACATTTCACAGGATCCGTGGTCTAACCCACGACCTCCTGCATACCTGGCGAGGTAGTTAACATCTCACAGAATCCGTGATCTAACCCACGACCTCCTGCACACCAGGCGAGGTAGTTAACATCTCACAGGATCCGTGGTCTAACCCACGACCTCCTGCACACCAGGCGAGGCAGTTAACATCTCACAGGGTCTGGGATCGAACCCACGACCTCCTGCATACCAGGCGAGGTAGTTAACATCTCACAGAATCCGGGATCGAACCCACGACGTCCTGCATACCAGGCGAGGTAGTTAACATCTCACAGGATCCGGTATCTAACCCACGACCTCCTGCACACCAGGCGAGGTAGTTAACATATCACAGGATCCGGAATCTAACCCACGACCTCCTGTACACCAGGCGAGGTAGTTAACATCTCATAGGATCCGGAATCTAACTCACGACCTCCTGCACACCAGGCGAGGTAGTTAATATATCACAGGATCCGGGATCTAACTCACGACCTCCTGTACACCAGGCGAGGTAGTTAACATCTCACAGGATCCGTGGTCTAACCCACGACCTCCTGCATACCAGGCGAGGTAGTTAACAACTCACAGGATCCGGGATCTAACCCACGACCTCCTGTATACCAGGCGAGGTAGTTAACATCTCACAAGATCTGTGGTCTAACCCACGACCTCCTGCACACCAGGCGAGGTAGTTAACATATCACAGGATCCGGGATCTAACTCACGACCTCCTGTACACCAGGCGAGGTAGTTAACATCTCACAGGATCCGTGGTCTAACCCACGACCTCCTGCATACCAGGCGAGGTAGTTAACAACTCACAGGATCCGGGATCTAACCCACGACCTCCTGCATACCAGGCGAGGTAGTTAACATCTCACGTGATCCGTGGTCTAACCCACGACCTCCTGCACACCAGGCGAGGTAGTTAACATCTCACAGAATCCGGGATTGAACCCACGACCTCCTGTGTATCAGGCGAGGTAGTTAACATCTCACAGAATCCGGGATCTAACCCACGACCTCCTGCATACCAGGCGAGGTAGTTAACATCTCACAGGATCCGGTATCTAACCCACGACCTCCTGCACACCAGGCGAGGTAGTTAACATATCACAGGATCCGGAATCTAACCCACGACCTCCTGTACACCAGGCGAGGTAGTTAACATCTCATAGGATCCGGAATCTAACTCACGACCTCCTGCACACCAGGCGAGGTAGTTAACATATCACAGGATCCGGGATCTAACTCACGACCTCCTGTACACCAGGCGAGGTAGTTAACATCTCACAAGATCTGTGGTCTAACACACGACCTCCTGCATACCAGGCGAGGTAGTTAACATCTCACAGAATCCGTGATCTAACCCACGACCTCCTGCATACTAGGCGAGGTAGTTAACATCTCACAGAATCCGGGATTGAACCCACGACCTCCTGCACACCAGGCGAGGTAGTTAACATCTCACAGAATCCGGGATCTAACCCACGACCTCCTGCACACCAGGCGAGGTAGTTAACATCTCACAGAATCCGGGATCTAACCCATGACCTCCTGCATACCAGGCGAGGTAGTTAACATCTCACAGAATCCGTGGTCTAACCTACGACCTTCTGCATACCAGGCGATGTAGTTAACATTTCTTAGTGTCTGGGATCTAACCCACGCCCTCCTGTACACCAGGCGAGGTAGTTAACATCTCTCAGGGTCTGGGATCTAACCCACGACCTCCTGCACACCAGGCGAGGTAGTTAACATCTCTCAGTGTCTGGGATCGAACCCACTGATTAAGCTCCACACAGTCATCATCATCAGCCATGGTCAATCCACTGCTGGATGCAGTGCACTGATTGCTCACCATACGGTGCTGTAACATTGAAATCGTGACTTTGAAACGCTAAAACTGCTAGTTAAGTCTATTATCTTATTTAAAGAATAGGAGTGTGATAAGCTATTGTAATGTATTTACACAGAGTGAAGTGTAAACTTTCTTTAGCACAACAACAATAATGTACAACTTGCATAAACTAAGCGATTAGACGCGATATTTAGACATTATAATGCATAACTATTTAAATTAGACACATCTAGATATTATAAAGTATAACTATTTAAATTAAACGCGATATCTACACAATGTATAATTAATAAAATTAGACATCTAGACATTATAATGTATAACTATTTAAATTAGACACATCTAGACATTGTATAACTATTTAAATTAGACACATCTAGACGTTACAATGTATAACTATTTAAATTAGACATCTAGACATTATAATGTATAACTATTTAAATTAGACACATCTAGACATTATGTATAACTATGTAAATTGACACGATATTTAGACAATGTGTAACTATTTAAATAAGACATCTAGACATTATAATGTATAACTATTTAAATTAGACACATCTAGACATTATAATCTGTAACTATTTAAATTAGACACGATATCTACACAATGTATAATTAATAAAATTAGACACATCTAGACATTATAATGTATAACTATTTAAATTAGACATCTAGACATTATAATGTATAACTATTAAAATTAGACACGACATCTACACAATGTATAACTATTTAAATTAGACACATCTAGACGTTATAATGTATAACTAATTAAATTAGACACATCTAGACATTATGTATAACTATGTAAATTGACACGATATTTAGACAATGTGTAAGTATTTAAATTAGACATCTAGACATTATAATGTGTAACTATGTAAATTGACACGATATTTAGACAATGTGTAACTATTTAAATTAGACACATCTAGACATTATAATGTATAACTATGTAAATTGACACGATATTTAGACAATGTGTAACTATTTAAATTAGACACATCTAGACATTATAATGTATAACTATTTAAATAAGACACATCTAGACATTATAATGTGTAACTATTTAAATTAGACACATCTAGACATTATAATGTGTAACTATTTAAATTAGACACATCTAGACATTATAATGTATAACTATTTAAATTAGACACATCTAGACATTATAATGTATAACTATTTAAATTAGACACATCTAGACATTATAATGTATAACTATTTAAATAAGACACATCTAGACATTATAATGTGTAACTATTTAAATTAGACACATCTAGACATTATAATGTGTAACTATTTAAATAAGACACATCTAGACATTATAATGTATAACTATTTAAATTAGACACATCTAGACATTATAATGTATAACTATTTAAATTAGACACATCTAGACATTATAATGTGTAACTATTTAAATTAGACACATCTATCTTAATTTTGGAGCTTTTGTGACTGCAGGAATTATTCTTTGGTTCTTTCGGTAAAGTCACGTATAAAGATACACATCTAGACATTATAATCTGTAACTAATTAAATTATACGCGATATTTAGACATTATAATTAACAATCAAGAACATTTTTACCTCACGAAATCTTGTGCCGCTTAAAAAGTTCTTCAAAACCTGTAAAATAAAAATAAAAACATGACATTGACGAGGCTCACAACCCTAAACGATTTAAGCTAAAAACTAAACAATTTATAAAACGCAAAACTTTAACATTATTATCACAGATTACCTCACACCGTTACAGTCGTCAATGTCACGTCGCAAACTTAACTCCCTTTGCCCTGTAATCAGACAAAGCCGCTTCTATAACCAAACACGACAACTTGTTCGCTTTAATCGCCGAAGTTAACTCGTCACGAATTTAACAATTTTAACTTTTATAATCCACAAACTCGCGTAAGCTCACCTCAACGCCTCACGACGGAATCGATTCGTCTAAGTCTGCACCAATAGATTCCACGCGCAATCCCCTTTGAAGCCATGGAATCGAATCATGAATCGATTCCACGCACAGCCCATTGATGTAATGGAATCGATGGCGTTGATTTAATCGACAAGGAGTCGATTCCTGAGCGGAGATTTTTTTTATTTTTCCCGCCAAAACTGCAACAGGTGCCCTCTTTAAACCCCTAAAGTTGCAATTTTCTGATCGTTTTGTGCATTTAAAGTTACAAGTTACCTCATAATTCGTCATTAAATGGCTTAAGATGCACATTGTGATGCGCGTTTTGTTTGTGAGATTTTTTTAGGTTATAAAATTATGTATAGTCATTGCCTGTTCGTTTTGTGCACTTATAATTACAACTTGTCTAAATTGTTAATTATAAATGTTAATTGTGCATTGCGAGGGGTGTTTTGTATATAATGTGCGATTTTAACTAATAAATTCACATCTTGTATATACACACAATGATGTACTGAGACAATGTTGTACTGTACTTTGACTACCTTAACGCTTTCAATGTTAAGCGCGTTGCTTAATGTTTATGAATAATTAAACTTTGTGAATCTAACTTTTAAAACAATTCACACTTCAATAAAACTTTAAGGTGCACATTGCAATGTGCTTTTTGTTTATGAGATGTTTTAAAATGTAATAATGTACAGCATTTAACATTTGTTTCTGTCATTGCCTGATCGTTTCGTGCATTTATAATTACAACTTACCTCATAGTTTGCAATTAAATGTTACCAAGTGGTACATTGCTAGAGTGTTTTATTTATTACGTGCGATTAAAAGACTAAATATTCCTATAGTTTACGTAAAATAATTGTTTATTTTTCCCGCCAAAACTACAACAGGTGCCACGTGCCTCATACCCCTCGATAAACCACAAAGTTGTAATTATCTCGTCGTTTTGTGAATTTATAATCTCGAGTTACCTCACAAAATGGGTTAACCCATTTAATTACAAACTATGAGGTGACTTGTAATTATAAATGCACAAAACGACCAGATTATTACAACTTTAATGTTTATAACGGGGCAAGTCACGTGGCACCTGTCGTAGTTTTGGCGGGAAAAACAAACTGCCGCGTCCCACGCTTAGGAATCGATGGCGGTTGATTAATCCTGAGGGAATCGATTCTATCGTTTCAATGGGGTTTTCGTGTGGAATCGATTCGTGATTCGATTTCGTCGCTTCAATGGGGTTTGCGTGTGGAATCGATTTGGCGGTAAGTTGAGGAAACGAATCGATTCCTGCAGCGAGGTTGTTCACGTTGCTTTAGCGAGTTAAGGATTATAAAAGTTAAAATTGTTAAATTCGTTAAAGAGTTAAGGCGAACAAGTTGTCGTGTTTAGTTATAGAAGCGGCTTTGTCTGCTTACAGGGCAAAGGGAGTTAAGTTTGTGAGGTGACATTGACGACTGTAACGGTGATAATGTTAAAGTGTTGCGTTTTATAAATTTGTGGTTTTAGCTTCAATTATTTAGTTTTTCTTATTAAATGTTTTAGTTTCGTGAGCGTCGTCGATGTCCCGTGTTGGTTTTTATTTTACAGGCTTTGAAAAACATAAACGGCGAAGATTTCGTGAGGTAAAATTATATTTTTAAATTATAATGTCTAAATATCGTGTTTAATTTAAATAGTTAAACATTATAATGTGTAGATATCGTGTTTAATTTAAATAGTTAAACATTACAATGTCTAGATATCGTGTTTAATTTAAATAGTTACACATTAGAATGTCTAAATATCGAGTCAATTTAAATAATTAAACGTTATAATGTGTAGATATCGTGTCACTTTAAATAGTTAAACGTTTTAATGTATAACCATCGTGTTTAATGTAAATAGTTAAACGTTTTAATGTCTAAATATCGTGTCAATTTAAATAGTTAAACATTATAGTGTATAAACATCGTGTTTAATGTAAATAGTTACACGTTATAATGTCTAAATATCGTGTCAATTTAAATTGTTAAAAGTTATAATGGTTAAATATCGTGTTTAATTTAAATAGTTTAACATTATAATGTCTAGATATCGTGTTTAATTTAAATAGTTAAACGTTATAATGTCTAAATATCGTGTCACTTTAAATAGTTAAACGTTATAATGTCTAAATATCGTGTTTAATTTAAATAGTTAAACGTTATGTCTAGATATCGTGCCAATTTAAATAGTTTAACATTATAAAGTCTAAATATCGTGTCAATTGAAATAGTTAAACGTTTTAATGTCTAAATATCGTGTCAGTTTAAATAGTTAAACGTTATAATGTCTAAATATCGTGTTTAATTTAAATAGTTAAACGTTATGTCTAGATATCGTGCCAATTTAAATAGTTTAACATTATAAAGTCTAAATATCGTGTCAATTGAAATAGTTAAACGTTTTAATGTCTAAATATCGTGTCAGTTTAAATAGTTAAACGTTATAATGTCTAAATATCGTGTTAATTAAAATAGTTAAAGGTTATAATGTGTAGATATCGTGTTTAATTTAAATTGTTAAACGTTATAATGTCTAAATATCGTGTCAATTTAAATAGTTAAACGTTATAATGTCTAAATATCGTGTTTAATTGAAATAGTTTAACATTATAATGTGTAGATATCGTGTCAATTTAAATAGTTAAACGTATTTAAGTCTAAATATCGTGTCAATTTAAATAGTTAAACGTTATAATGTATAAACATTGTGTTTAATGTAAATCGTTAAACAATGTCTAAATATCGTGCCAATTTAAATAATTAAACGTTATAATGTCTAAATATCGCGTCAATTTAAATAGTTAAACGTTATAATGTCTAAATATCGTGTCAATTTAAATAGTTAAACGTTATGTCTAAATATCGTGTCAATTTAAATAGTTAAACGTTATGTCTAAATATCGTGTCAATTTAAATAGTTAAACATTATAATGTCTAGATATCGTGTCAATTTAAATTGTTAAACGTTATAAAGTATAAATATCGTGTCAATTTAAATATTTTAACGTTTTAATGTCTAATTATCGTGCCAATTTAAATAGTTAAACGTTTTAATGTCTAAATATCGTGTTAATTTAAATAGTTAAACGTTTTAATGTCTAATTATCGTGCCAATTTAAATAGTTAAACGTTATAATGTCTAAATATCGTGTCAATTTAAATAGTTAAACGTTATAATGTCTAGATATTGTGTCAATTTAAATAGTTAAACGTTATAAAATCTAGATATCGTGTCAATTTAAATAGTTAAATGTTATAATGTCTAGAAATCGTGTCAGTTTAAGTAGTTAAACATTATAATGTCTAAATATCGTGTCAATTTAAATAGTTAAACATTATGTCTATAAATCGTGTCAATTTAAATTGTTAAACGTTATAATGTCTAAATATCGTGTCAATTTAAATAGTTAAACATTATGTCTATAAATCGTGTCAATTTAAATTGTTAAACGTTATGTCTAAATATAGTGTTAATTTAAATAGTTAAACATAATGTATAAACATCGTGTTTAATGTAAATAGTTAAACTTTATAATGTGTAGATATCGTGTCAATTTAAATAGTTAAGCGTTTTAATTTCTACATATCGTGTCAATTTAAATACCACCATTGGAACCTCCTTTGCCAGTAGCAAAATATGAAAATTGGGTAAGGAGGTTCCAATGGTGTAAATGCTTACCCCGAGCTCTCATACTCTGATGGTGCATTGTCTTTGAGTTGTGCGCCTTTTGGCGTCATCTGGTCCAACACCATGTGAGACTAGGCTCTAAGATAAGCTGTCTCGGGTGTGGACCAATCCATTTCAAGGATCACGTGAGACTGGGCTCTAAGAAATCTGTCTCGGGTGTGGACCAATCAATTTCAAGGACCATGTGAGACTGGGCTCTAAGAAAAGCTGTCTCGGGTGTGGACCAATCCATTTCAAGGACCATGTGAGACTGGGTTCTAAGAAAAGCTGTCTCGGTTGTGGACCAATCAATTTCAAGGACAGTGCATATCATTAATTATCAGAGTTGTGTTTTTTTTTGCATTCCGACCGCAGGTATTGTGGTCAATGCAAACATGACTCCTTGTAAAAATAGTGTCAGTTTTGTTGCCAGATAAAAGGGTAAAAAACAATTATCAATCTAATTGCTTAGTTAATGCAAGTTGTACATTATTGTTATCGTGCTGAAGAAAGTTTACACTTCACTCTGTGTAAATACATTACAATAGCTTATCAAAGTCACGATTTCAATGTTACAGCACCGTATGGTGAGCAATCAGTGCACTGCATCTAGCAGTGGCTTGACCATGGCTGATGATGATGGTGGTGATGACTGTGATTGTGTGGAGCTTAATCAGTGGGGTGCCGTGGTGGATAGATGTTAACTACCTCGCCTGTTATGCAGGAGGTCGTGGGCTCCACCCCGGATCCTGCGAGATGTTATCTCTCTCGCCTCCACATTTATAATGAACATCACACATTTAGATTATTATGGGTCTCTACGATGCTACGTGAGTCTTAGGATTTCAGTGCTCTCTATGGGTCTCTGATTCTATGATTTTTGGCTCCTGCTATACATTTCCACGCGATAAGCCACTTGGTTGAGCTATCATTTGTGATGGCCAGATCGCTTCTGATATAAAGAAGCTGTTTAGTTCAGTGTTTAAGTTGTATTTTAGCCTTACTTGCTAAAAGAAAAAATAGTTTAGTGTTGTATTTCATTTCAAACATATTTATCCCGATCGTAGGCAGCAGAGGGCAGTGTAGATACGCCATAGACTTGCACAAAGACAAACGATTACCCGTGTAGCCTTATACATTAGGGGCACGTGCTGTTAGTGAGTAGCAACGCCCAATGAATGTCGGGCCGGCTCTTCTGTATCTTGTGCAATTTTCAAAGGCAAACAATCTGTCACAAAATAATTTGAATAAACACTTCACTTTAGAACTGCTTTCAACTCACCTGAAGCTTTGAACTGACAGATTTTTCTTCCCCGGTGGATGATTGATATCGATGAGTGAAAAAAGTAGACTGCTGATATTGTCAGAAGTCAGTTTTCAATTAAAAAAGACCGAACAGAACGATTAAAGTTACGAAAACATTTACCAGAGTACAATTGTATCTTGTGTAAATTTAATGGCAGTGAATCTTGCATAAAACTATGTCATCAAACACCTAACTTCATGTCACCATAGCACTGTATTTAACTCACCTTCAATTTGCTCAAATTCACTGCTCTAATACTTTGTTCGTCTGCTTTCGCTTGCTGGGGTTGACATAAAATTTAAATCGATACAATGGCTGGAAAATCATCGAGAAAGTCTATTTTATCATAATTTAGAAGCATAAATTAGACTTACCTTTTGTTTCAAGTGCTGAAGAAATAAATAAAGACACCAAATCCACTTTGTTGCTGCGTAGTATTATTTATTTGATTCACTTTCAATAAAGAAACGTAAAAGTGAAAGTGAATTTGCATTATAAAAATATTATTTCCTCTCGACCTGCGTGAATGTAAAAATCCACCTGCTAATGATAATGACGGGGGGGGGGGGGGGCTCATGTGGAGTGACGTCACATGTGGGACACACATTCTTGGCTCGTTATATTATTATGATGTAGAAGTGCATAGCTCCAGTGACTTCCTAATATTGGAAGGAAGAGCATTCCAGATCGCTACATCATCACCACCAACACCGTCAAAACCATCACAAATCTCGATTTAAAGCTTTCGTGACTGCAGGGATTCATCTTCTTGGTTCTTTCGGTAAAGTCACGTAGAAAGGAAATAATAAAATAATAATTGTATTTTAGTATGCTTTATTTCTATTATTTCCATCACAAATCACCAACACCACCATCAACATCCCCCACTTCATCATGCAGGCACCGCAACATCATCATCACCACCATCACCACAATTATGTAGTTGAACACGAAGGCTTTCGCGACCAATATCCATGGGAGGTTTTTTGGGGGGCAAGACCGCGTAAATATAAATGTGTCGTACTCATTGTTGTAGGTTTCCACGTTTTGTTTGTGACAAGCCCCTTACTAATTGGCTGTGTTGGATGATGGCGGGTTTAACGACACATTTATATTTGCACAATTTAACCCAAAAAACCCTCTGGATTATGTTGGTAAATACTTAAAACTTATTTTGCACAGTATGCAGCCAACCGTGCTAACTGGAGCATCCCATGTGAGTGAACCGCAGTTGAACAACTAATGAAGCAATCTTTATGAATAAAAGCATAAAAATAACAGACACAGGGCGTAGAATTAACACGGCTATCGGAAATCCAGCATTGAGACAATCATGAACTATGATTCTAGGGGTTTACAACAACTCTAAACACACACAAGCCAAAATGTTCTATCACTCAATGTGGGTTGTAGGGAGGAGAGAGCAGGGGAGTGCCTCGGCATCAATCAGAATGTTTAGCTGCTGCTATACATTTCCTTACGTATTTAATAAAAGACTTCGTCAGGCAATGCTGGTCCCCGTTGGTCTTATTTAGTTTCTTTCTCCGCACCCCGCTAATCCTGTCCGCGGACCAGCGTCTCCTCGCGCGCGCCCCGCACGCGCTCCTTCGTCAACTCCTCTGCTCTTCCTCACACCCCGCTGGTCCTGATAGCGGACCAGCGTCTCCTCGCGCGCGCTCACGCGCGCTCCTCCAATAGCTCCTCCACCCCCTCACTCCGCACACCGCTGGCCGACAGCGTGCTGAAGGTCCTGCGGCCACGTGGCTGATGGCGTGGATCCCGTCCGGCCACCCAACGTGGCTCAGCCTCTTTACTTCTGCAACTGACCCCAATCCCTTCCGGGCTCCCCCCTATATCCTGTTTCCCACGTGATCCTGACTCCTCTCCTTCCGGATCGTCAGATCCGGCCTTCCCATACTGGCTCCTGCCCCCCAACACCCCGGCCCGTGTGATTGGGCCAGAGCCCAGCAGCAAACCCCATTTACGCTCGCATTACACGTAGATACATCAGTGACCCAAGAGTTACATCTATTTAACATAGTAGTAGGGCTTTCTCGACCAATGTTATCCATAACAGTGGTTTTCTTCGTGTTAAATCGCGTAAATATAAATGCATGTATTTAAACCCGACACAGCCAATTAGTAAAGGGTTTGTCACGTAAACAGAACGTGCTAATTAGTTACTAGTTAGAGCACTAGTGTATAGTGTAGTATACTAGTTCAGCACTAACCGATTGTGTTGGAGAGCAAACCCACTACAATTGGACACATTTACGTGATCTAACCCAACACAAAAAACATCTTATAGAGTTATATATAATATTTATTTCCAGGCAAGGCCCCACTGAGATACGCAGCAAATTTTTCAGAAGCGACGTGGCCATCATGTTTTAATTAAATGTACCCTACTAGTAATGGAAGAACTCCACGACTCCAGAAAGTGCCCCCGATGCTTGCCATAACGTAAGGGACCGTGGTGATTTACGGACGTCAGTTGACCGTGGACAATTAGACCCAAGGCAAAACATAACATATAAAAAAGATTGTTTAAAAATATGTTTTTTTTAAATGTATGATAGCTAATAGTATTGTCATCAGTATGACAAAAGTATACCAAGTTTGCAGTCGATACCACATTGGGAAGTGGGTTAAAATGGAGTTACAAGATTTGAGGATACAACAGACATAGTGAGTTAATAGAAAGCGTGTAATATAATTTTTGTTGCCCGTATTGGCACAGCTGTGCGCCGTATGGACCCGAAAACTCAATTTCCCTGTACAAGAATACGGGTAAACCGCATGGGTTGAGAGGTATGCTTGATTTACATCGCCTGCGCATCGACTGTCCCCTCATCTGAGCTAGTAGTTGTGCACAATTGGCATTGCCAGATCTAGCCCTCCTCGAATCGATATTAGGACACTCCACGGAAGATGTTGGGGACACTTACTCTATGAAACGGAAAATGAACGAGGTGTCCTGTTTGTTGGCTGGTGGCAGTGCGACATCTCGGACCTGTGCAACGTCATCGTAAACGGGACAGCGAGGGAGATAACATCTCATAACCACCACGGCACCCATGTATTACAGTACAACGCATTCAACTGAAGTTGTTACCACTGGCTACAGGCTGCTGTAACCTTTGCGAGGATTTTGGGAAAAATATGATGAATAACAATAGGTTTTTATTCCCTTGAGGCAATAAAACAGTTATAGATATAACTTACATACTAATAATAGGGGTTTTCCCCTTTTTTCTGGCAACAAAACTGAAACCTTTTTTTACGAGGATTCATATCTGCATTAACCACAATACCTGCAGTCAAATGCAAACAAAAAACACGATGATAATATGTGCATTGTCCTTGAAACTGATTGGTCCACACCAAGGGGCGGCTTTCTTTTGAGCCTCGACCCAATTGGTGCTCGACCAGAGGACGCCAAAAGGCGTACAGCTCAAAGACAATGCAATATCAAAGTAATGAGGGCTCGGGGTGAGCATCTACATCATTGGACCTCCTTTGCCAGTACCAACATATAATAATAGGGTCTTTCCCCTTTTTTCTGGCAACAAAACTGAAACCTTTTTAGGAGGATTCATATCTGCATTAACCACAATACCTGCAGTCAAATGCAAACAAAAAACACGCGATGATAATATATGCATTGTCCTTGAAACTGATTGGTCCACACCAAGGGACGGCTTTCTTTTGAGCCGCGACCCAATTGGTGCTCGACCAGAGGACGCCAAAAGGCGTACAGCTCAAAGGCAATGCACTATCAAAGTAATGAGGGCTCGGGGTGAGCATCGACATCATTGGACCTCCTTTGCCAGTATCAAAATATAATAATAGGGTCTTTCCCCTTTTTCTGGCAACAAAACTGAAACCTTTTTTAAGAGGATTCATATCTGCATTAACCACAATACCTGCAGTCAAATGCAAACAAAACACGCGATGATAATATATGCATTGTCCTTGAAACTGATTGGTCCACACCAAGGGACGGCTTTCTTTTGAGCCTCGACGCAATTGGTGCTCGACCAGAGGCCGCCAAAAGGCGTACAGCTCAAAGACAATGCACTATCAAAGTAATGAGGGCTCGGGTGAGCATCTACATCATTGGACCTCCTTTGCCAGTACCAAAATATAATAGTAGGGTTTTTCCCCTTTTTTCTGGCATCAAAACTGAAACCTTTTTTTACAAGGATTCATATCTGCATTAACCACAATACCTGCAGTCAAATACAAACAAAAAATACACGATGATAATATATGCATTGTCCTTAAAAATGATTGGTCCACACCAAGGGACAGCTTTCTTTTGAGCCTCGACCCAATTGGTGCTCGACCAGAGGACGCCAAATGGCGTACAGCTCAAAGACAATGCACTTTCAAAGTAATGAGGGCTCGGGGTGAGCATCTACATTATTGGACCTCCTTTGCCAGTACCAATCAGTTTCAAGGACAATGCATATATGGAACATCTGAACTTAAGATAAGCCTAATCTTCCCTCATTAACTTGGTTATATACTTGCGGAATGCTTCTCTGGGGGTTTCTTCTATAAACCAATTATTTACATTTGATCATAATGACACGACAAACGTGACCTAAATGCAGATCCTATGCCGGGTCATCGTCGATAGTTTTCTCTTTTAGTTGGCATTGTTCTTGGTCTTCTCCCTGCTCATTAGATGTTTCTAATTATCTCTTGGTTGTGGTTGTTGCACTGTTCCGTTCTTATGGACACCGTTCAGACAGAGAGACTTTACTTCTTCCAGTGCTTTCTTTCTGCTTGCTGCATCTGGAGAGAGAAAAAGAGTATTTGAGTGGAGAGGGCTGTGATATTCATCAAGATTTCTTCACATACACGCGCATTTTATTTAAGCCATGTCAAGGCCCATTGTGACAAGGCATGTCTTTTGCAAGGTAGCTCTGTATGTATGGTGAACTTCTTTAGCACCGTGCATTGCCAATCGTTGGTTATCAGAGGTGTGGGGGAAGGACAACAAACCAAACAGAACAGCAACAATCCAGTTAAGTTATATTTAGCCAGTAACTATTGATGTACATTCTAATAATGTTATGTCTAAATGGAAAGTTAATTTCTTTAGAACTGCTTTCTGTGTTTTTAATTTGCTTTCCTTCTCCCCGCACCTCCGATTTGCACGGTTGGCTACATGCGGTGCGAAATAAATTAAACAAACATACTAGGATGGCTATAACTGAAAATTTAGCATACATTATTTCAACTCTACACTTCTGCCTATGTTTAACATTTAAATGTAAAATATCCTTCCTCCCCAAATCCAGCTATGGCAACATCAGACAGTAAAAACAGCTTTAAAAGTTGAGCCTCTTACCTCTACGTCGTCGGCGTCTCCACCAATAAGTGAGATAAGCAACTCCAGCAACAAATGCCGAACCTAGAATGCCAGCCGTAATAGCAATGGCACCAACGTCTAGAAAAAGACAGATAATGCAATAATTTTAGTAGCACTAAGGCATGATACTGTTAAATATAACTTGTACAGTAAATGGATAGAATAAAACATTTAGCGTACAATACTGTACACATATCCACATACAGTAATGTGAACACATCGGTATATTTCGCGAATAAAAAAACTATCACAATTGAAATTGATCAATTATTCTGGGCTCTCACGTGATTTCTCCTGGCAGGGGTCGCCTTTTTCTGGTCGGTAGAATCCAATATCGCAGATGCACTTCCTATTTTGTGTCGCTTTGCAATCCTGCTGGATGACCTCATCTGCCAGGAACAAAAACGGTCATTAGTTCGGAGACCCAAGGACACAAGTGTGAAGGAGGTAGTCGAGTTACGTCAGATACTCTGCAATCAGAATTTCATAATTGAGTGGGGCAAAATTACTTTCACCTCTCGGTACTGGGACTCACGTTGGCCGCAGACTGTGCAGGGTAAGCACCAGGTTTCTTGGTTGTCCCCATCGGTGTACCAGCCATGGTTGCAGGACAGGCAGATGGTGTACCCGCCCTCCGTTGAGCAGTCATCAGCCTTGAAGGTTCCTAGGTGAGAGGCGGGGAGTAGCGTGAGGTGAGAGGGGAAAGGTAGCGGGGGTGAGTGCATGGAGAATCATGAAAGTTGGTTAAACTAAAATCCTAAACTATTTTAAAATTGACGATGTAAGGTCCACTGAGCTATACACAGTTGATCATCGATTGTCCAGCACACGATTATCCGGCTTCCAACATCCGGTGGTCCTGGGCCGGGGCCGATCCAGCAAAACCGCTCTAAAAGCTACCAGTCCGTGCATGGCAAGAAAAGTATCTATGCTTGATTTTAGTGTCATACAACAACTTAATGAAAATACTGCACGTATATAGATCTTTCGTGACGAATAACTCCAGTAAATACAATAACTAAATATACAGTGTAATCCGGCAAAAAGTGCGTGTAATTCGGCATTCGCATCAAACGCAAGTTGTTGAAACAAGAGCGTAGTACTACGTACATCACCCCATGCAGTCTTCGGGATTGAAGTGGTAAGTACGGTACAGTAATAGAATCTGTTTATGCAATATCATATAAAGAAATTTTAAACACGAAGAAAACATACACAACACCTGAAAGCAATGTTATGCAAGAATATATCTTATAATAATATATCTTAAAGAATGATGTCATGTGGCATTTTTGAAAATCGCCTTCCCCCCCCCCCCTGCCCGAAGCAGACAGATAATCGATGACCTGGCCACATGATGGCCGAACGAAGTGGCTTATGTAGAAATATATAAAGCAGCCAAATGTTCGAAACGCATGACGTCAATTTTGAATGTGGAGGGGAAAACCCGGAGGACCCGGAGAGAGAGACATGCCAACTCGTAATATACAGCAGGCGTCAGGGTCACGATCAAACCCACACCCTTCTGTATACCTGGCGAGATAGTTAACATCTCCTAGCCACCGCTAAGCTTCATTAGAATACGAAACTCACCGGCAGGGCAGAGTCGGCAGCACAGCCCGGAACTAGCTCTGTAATTTCCATGGGCACAATCAGCCTTTGTGCCTGAAAAAATCTGTATACACACACAACATGCGGGCAAGATTCATGAAACATAGGTGAAATTCATCTTTGTCAGTCAAAGAACAATACCGCAGTAAATTTTCCTCCACAACACAAATAAGCAGCCACTGCTAGTCCACGGTGACGGCACTGACGTTGGTTTCACCCACTCAACTAGCTACACCCACACGGTGAGTGGTCTCCCTCTTTCTGACATTGTCTCTGCACACGAGTACGATTTTTTTCTGTTGTAGGTCTGTTGTAGATGCAGAGCAACAACTACAAATTCACATTCGGGTGGTCTATCCAGACAACCGCCATCGCCACTATCGCCACCATCACTACTATCACTACCGTCACCACCATCACCACCATCACCACCATCACTACCATCACCACCATCACTACTATTACTACCATCACTACCATCACTACTATCACTACCATTACTACCATCACTACTATCACTACCATTACTACCATCACCACCACCACTATTGCCACCATCACTAGCACTACCATCACCACCATCACCACTTTAACCACTATCACTACCATCACAACTATCATCACGTCCACTATTACCACCACCTCCACTATCACCACCATCACTATCAGTCTCTATGTATCTATGAGTCTCTATATGGGTATCTAAGAGTCTCCATATGGGTATATGGTCTCTGCGGTAAATTAAGTTATTGTTCCACCATTGGAACCTCATTTGCCAGTAAAAATATGATAATTGGTTTTTTACCCTTCTATCTGGCAACAAAACTGACAACTTTTTTACAAGGAGTCGTGTTTACATAGACCACAATACCTGCAGTCATAATGCAAACAAAAAACATAGCTCTGATAATGTGCACTGTCCTTGAAGTTGATTGGTCCACACCCGAGACAGCTTTCCTTAGAGCCTAGTCTCACATGGTGTTGGACCAGATGACGCCAAAAGGCGCACAACTCAAAGACAATGCACCATCAGAGTATGAGAGCTCGGGGTGAAGCATTTACACCATTGGAACCTCATTTGCCAGTAAAAAATATGATAATTGGTTTTTTACCCTTCTATCTGGCAACAAAACTGACAACTTTTTTACAAGGAGTCGTGTTTACATAGACCACAATACCTGCAGTCATAATGCAAACAAAAAACATAGCTCTGATAATGTGCACTGTCCTTGAAGTTGATTGGTCCACACCCGAGACAGCTTTCCTTAGAGCCTAGTCTCACATGGTCCTTGAAGTTGATTGGTCCACACCCGAGACAGCTTTCCTTAGAGCCCAGTCTCACATGGTCCTTGAAGTTGATTGGTCCACACCCGAGACAGCTTTCCTTAGAGCCTGGTCTCACATGGTCCTTGAAGTTGATTGGTCCACACCCGAGACAGCTTTCCTTAGAGCCTAGTCTCACATGGTGTTGGACCAGATGACGCCATGTATCTCGGTTCCTTGCTCACGCCAACTGCAGTACGACCACCAAACTGGATTGTGATTTTTTTTCTTCCATTGGTAACTTTCTTCTCCAGAGAACGGAACGGGCTCAGCAAATCTCGCATTCGCCATCGCCAACGATGTCAGTGTGAGTGAGTTGTGTGTGAGTGAGTGAGTTGTGTGTGTGAGTGAGTGAGCTGTGTGTGTGAGTGAGTGAGTTGTGTGTGTGAGTGAGTGAGTTGTGTGTGTGAGTGAGTGAGTTGTGTGTGTGAGTGAGTGAGCTGTGTGTGTGAGTGAGTGAGTTGTGAGTGTGAGTGAGTGAGCTGTGTGTGTGAGTGTGAGTGAGTGAGTTGTGTGTGTGAGTGAGTTGTGTGTGTGAGTGTGAGTGAGATATTCATATCCTTAGGTTTTTTCGGTTAAGTCACGTAAGTAAGTGAGTGAGATGTGTGTGTGTGAGTGAGTGAGCTGTGTGTGTGTGAGTGAGCTGTGTGTGTGTGAGTGAGATGTGTGTGTGTGAGTGAGTGAGCTGTGTGTGTGTGAGTGAGCTGTGTGTGAGTGTGAGTGAGTGAGATGTGTGTGTGAGTGTGTAGGGAGCGGTGGTGTCGTGGTTAATGCTACGATCCGGGCGACCCCGAGTTCAATTCCCGCACAAGGCCACCAACACCTGTGATAGCGATTATCTGAACCGGTTCCTGGGCCTCCCCTCAGGTCGACTCAGCCTCAAATGAGTACCTGGTGCAGTGGTGTAGTGTAATAAACATCGCCACTGGGGAGACAAAGGCGGTCGGGCTTAGTGCTGGCCACCCACCCCCTCGTGTGCCGCGGTGCCGGCCATCATAGGCGCTGTGACTCATTAACAGCACTTGCCACGGCAGTCTGTTCAGGCTATACGGGGGATCTTTGTTTTTTGTGTGACTTCCCTCGTGACAACGAGCGGAGCGCCGGGTGGCTTTAAACACAGCAAAGTTGGCACAGCAGGGAGCACAGGTGATGCATCTTAGTTGACCCATGGCACCTGTGCCAGGCTAGGTGCTCCTGCACCTAGCCTGGCACAGCAGCAGTACAACCCATGGCACCTGCATGGTCTGTCTCGTGACCTCGTGCACCTAGCCTGGCACAACCTATGGGCACCTGTAGGGTCTGTCCCGTGATCTCGTGCCAGCGGGCGTTCGACACTTCACATGGCCTTAACGTGCACCTAGCCTGGCACAGGTGCCGTGGTGATGTCACCGCCACTTGGTGGCGAATGGCGGTTGTAGTTGGTGTGGTCTTGGCTTCCCCTCCCACGCTTTCTCGCCCATCTCCGCCTTTTCGAATCGGAATTGCCAAATTGACGGATCGCTCATTTTTAAAAATAAATTTGAACCTGCGAAAACATCAACGGCGGCATCACATAGCTCGGGGTTGGAGCTGTTACACATTATCGGGGGGGGACCATTTTATACCACAATGTGTGGTTAATGCAGACGTGTGTGTAGTGTGTGTGCGGTGTATAGTAGTGTTGCGTATCGTGCATAGTCGTGATGTATAGTGGTGCAGTGCAGTGCAGTGTGTAGTATATATACACTACACTGCTATACACTACACCACTATACTAAATTCCACTACACCACTATACTAAATTTACAACAAATTTCTTTAGAACTGCTTTGTGTTTAGCTTGTTGGCCTTCCTCCGCACCTCAAATTTCTGCGGTTGGCTATGTACGGTGCCAAAGAAGTTAATTGTACGTACATGATAGTGGTGGTGGTGGCGGTGATGTTAATGATGTGACCGTCTGGACGCTCTTCCCATCCGATATTAGGAAACCGCTGGGGAGCTTTGATGCACTTTTAAATTATTTAGGACTGACAAACTAATTTATCTAGAACTCATCTTTTTGGTTCTTTCGGTAAAGTCACGTAGAAGGGAAATAATAAAATAATAAAAATAAAACATAATAAAATAAAATTCTCACGACGTTTCAGCCACAACGCAAGCAGCCGTCCTCAGGTGAAGAACAGGTCTGTCGGAAAGACAGCGTCTGAATGAAACACCACCAGGCTTGGCAGCGTATATTTAAGCTGGGTTGGAGGAGGAGAGCGCCTTGACAAAGGAATTTACATATCAACAGAGGAATTTTGTATATTCAGTAAAACCTCTGGTCACGAACGCTACTGACCACGACCAAATCGGGTTACGACCAAAAAATTCACAATTTTTTTTAATCTGGTCACGAACGCAAACTCAGGTGACGATCAAACACGGCCGCGGCCGATTTCCCCTTCCGCGCCATTTTATTTTGTAAGCGCCAAATTTCATGTTGTTTGTTTACAACAACAAAGCATAATATATATATATAACTTTTGTTATATTAAATTCCTAGTAAGATATTAATTTTGTGAGTGTAGTCATACCCCTCCCCCCTCATTCAAGCCGTAATTTAGAGAGCGAAAGCGCCGAGTACGTAAATCGCTAACATAAGAACCCGTTAATCTCTTCTCACATCATGCATTCGATGATGCGGTGAAGTAAACGTTCACACGATATTACGGTGAATGCTTCCAAAAACAATACTGTACCCAAATATTACTGTTAACTTACTTTCAATAGAAACATGAATTGCTCATACGAATATTCTCTCTCTCTCAGAATCGACCGACTGATGTAGCAGACGAAACAATCATCTTGTTGAATGATTCTAAACCTTGACGCAGCAATGTTTGTTTTCTCTGTTGTTCAAGGTTTTCTCAGTGTTATTCAATGTTTTTACTATTACACTGTGAATTCTATGGCATATTTTTGTGCTTAAAAATCTTTAAAAAACTATATTTATATACAGTTCGTAGGAGTCTGGAACGGATTAATCGTATTTACATACAATCTAATGGGGAAATTAGGTTCGAGTCACGACCAAATCGGGTTGCGACCAAAGTTATGGAACGAATTATGGTCGTGACCAGAGGTTCTACTGTTTATGGAAAATGCAGATATGGGATTAGTCACTACTTGTGGAATGTGTAGGTGGTGGGGAGGTCTCAAAGTCATATTATGCTCGTGTATTATGTAGGATTAGCAGTCAAAGGGAGGAAGTAGGATTAGCAGTAATAAAGGGAGGGACATTTTTATCGTTAGGAGCTGCAGCAGCCAAACCACCACGTAAAAAAAATATATAAACTACATCCAATATCATCAATATACTCAATATACTCTCCAATAAGCTGAGCTACTAACAGTGTGTCATACATTACAATTCTATGTCGCAAAAAATATAATATGCCTCCAGCTAAACTTTTTTCTTACATCACATGGGTCTACCCCGTACTATACACTGACATAGACAAACCCAACATTAAATTATACACTGCGTTACTATACACCACCCTATACCTTAGAGGCTTAGACTATACATTGTAATAAAAAACTAAAATATAAACTACATCAATATACTCAATATACTCTCCAATAAGCTGAGCTACTAACAGTAAGTCATACATTACACCACTCAGACACACACAAACACACACCACTCAGACACACACAAACACACACCACTCAGACACACACAGACACACACCACTCAGACACACACAAACACACACCACTCAGACACACACAGACACACACCACTCAGACACACACCACTCAGACACACACAAACACACACCACTCAGACACACACAGACACACACCACTCAGACACACACAAACACACACCACTCAGACACACACAGATACACACCACTCAGACACACACCACTCAGACACACACAAACACACACCACTCAGACACACACTAATCAGACACAAAGACACAAACCACTCAGACACACACCACACAGACACACACCACTCAGACACACAACTTACCAGCATGAGTGCATAGGCAAGCAATGTGGAGAGCAGGTGGAATTGAGACATGGCCCAGGAGTTGTCCGCACGGATGTGTGGATGGGAGCGAGAGGCGATGGGACACCCCTTGAGGGTGGAGGATGGTGTGGCTCAGCTCGATGAACTTTGAGTTCAATAAAAAACACAAACGTCAGAGGCCATAAAACAGAATGCGGCTCTAGCTCTGGTGGAGGACAATCAGTTCAATGTCCAAGGTGTGGCAGAATGTGTGACGCTTGGTGAATGATGACGCGGTCGTATACCTTGCAATAAAAAGTCTGTGCGACTGTTTGGTGTTGGAACCAATTTGCAGACTTCGTGTTTTATTTTTAGCCCCAGAAATACGCGGGAAAACATGCACACTTACCACCACCACCACACTACTACTGTACACAATACACTACTATACAGTAAACTACTATACACTACTATACAGTAAACTACTATACACTACACTCCTACACACTACACTACTACACACTACACTACTATACACTCCTATACACTATACTACTGTACACTACACTATACACTACTGTACACTATACACTACTGTACACTACACTATACACTACTACACACTATACACTACTATAAACTACACTACTATACACTACACTATACATTACACTACTATACACTATACTATACACTATACCCCAACCCACTTAATTACAACACGGCGCGTGTTAAGGCCACCCACTTGCAATGGCCTCTGCAGGTTACGTTTTTATTGAACTCGGAAGTGCATCGAGCTGAGCTGCACCCGACACTCGAAACTCAACTACCAAGTTGAGTTGAACTACCAAGTTGAGTGTCGGTGGGGTTTGTGACGGAAATCAAACCTACACATCGGTTCGCCATCTGTTGCAATGTTCGCCTCGCAAGAAAACAAAAGGAATATGCCGCACAAAACAACAATACAAATAAATACTTTACAAATGGGGGGTGGGATGGGTGTGGGAAAATGAAGACATCGCAGTAGTCCATTTCAAACATCTAACGAAAAGTTGCCATCATCCCGTTTGTTTTCTTTCTCAAAAAAAGGTTTTTGTAGCCAATTAAGGAATAAAAATCATTAACCCGTAAAAACAAAGTTTTTCACTATAAATCCTTTATATGCGTGGCGGCTAGAGTCCTCTCGTCCTCTGGCTTGAGATGGCTGCCACCTATGGGTCAGATGATTGCCTGCCAGCATTAAGCAATTGGTAATTAAATATCATATTTTTGTCCTAAAAAGTGTAAAATTTTGGAAAAAAAATTTCACGAACATTAATTGTCACGCACAACGAGTCTGTGTGCAAAATGTCAGCTCGATTGGATCACGGGAAGTGGGTTAAAAAACGACCGAAAGATTTGCACGGTCCTAAGCAAGCAAGCGAACTTAATATACGGTCAAGTGGTGGTGGACAGAGGCAGAGCCAGGATTTTCAGGTAGGGGGGGCAACCCCTCCAACAATGAAATAAGTAATATAAAAAAAAGTTTTTTTAAACGCGCTTTTATGAAATGTACTCGTAATGGCAAAACTCCACGACTCCAGGAAGTGGCCCCGAAAGCTTGCCATAACGTAAGGGGGACCGTGGACAATTAGACCCAAGCCGAAACATAATATATAAAAAAGATGGTTTAAAAAAATACTTTTTTTATGTTTTACCACATTGGGAAGTGGGTTAAAATTGAGTTACAAGATTTGAGGATACAACGACAACAGAGTTAAAAGAAAGCTTGTAAATGGATAGAGTTGTTAGTAAGTAAGGACTTGTTAGTAAGGACTTGTCCCTGGGCGCTTCTGCAGCCATTGATCGAGGGTCGAATTCGAACTGTGCGTGATCGGCATCGCTCTCGCTGAAGGTGAATGACTTCAGGGAAGTCATGTGCTGTAGACGCAACTGCGCACAATTCTGTGAGTCGCTTATAACTGCTTCGTCGCTACTTATTGCCAATTATGGACTCAAACTATTGTCCTATCATCTCACAGAGTACCTGGCACTTAATAATATGCTAGTGACCAGGGGTCGGGAACCTGTTTGACTGGGAGAGCCATAAAAGCCAAATATTTCTAAATATATTTGAGAGCCATATAGTATTTTTAACGTATAATAAATTAAATGTCTTACTTTTAATGCGACTTCTGGTGCTGCATGGTTTTGCTGATGGCCTTGTATTCTGGTTCATACGTGGTGAGGTTGCGCTTCGTGCAGGCGTGACCCCTGAACTTTATCTTCAAAACTAATTTCTTTTTACTTTAAAATGACACAGTATTATTAAACAATATCACAAGTATTTTAAAATCAGTTCCAAACTGATTTTTATTTTATTATTATTTTTTCAACTCAAAATTGTCTGGGAGCCATATGCCGTCACCGGAAGAGCCATATATGGCTCGCGAGCCATAGGTTCCCGACCCTGTATATAATTAACAGCTACATTGTGTGCAGTGGTCGTAAAAATGCAGATTTATTACTCAAATCCACCCCACCAACCACTGTAGCACTGCACCCCCCTCCCTCATCCAGGACTTGTTTGTGTTTTGTGTGGCGCATCCAGCGAGTGGTGTTTGTGTTTATTGCTGGCGACTGCATTTCGTGTCGAAATCACCTTCAGTGCTGTGCTGCTAGCGGCAAAAAAAGTTGTGTAATAGTCAGAGGTCTCTCTCCCCCTCCACTTGTTTTGCCTCCACAGGAAATACAATTCATAATCAACGTTTTTGGGTTTAGATCGCGTTATTTATGTGTCGTAACCCTCCACCACCCGACACGGCCAATCAGTAAAAAAGTGTCACGTTGACAAAAGACAAATAGTTCACTGCTTTAGTCCCCACACTGGTGTGTTGTTGAAGCCACAACACCGGTGTGGGGGCTAAAGCAGTGAACTATTTGTCTTTTGTCAACGTGACACTTTTTACTGATTGGCCGTGTCGGGTGGTGGAGGGTTACGACACATTTATAAACAAACGCGATCTAAACCCAACAACGTTGATTATGAATAACATTGGTCGCGAAATACAATCTCCAGACGGGGAACTGGGGTCCAAACGTCAGAATCACAAAAGTCAACAACCAACCCTCCACCAACACGCGGGGAGAGTGCGACAAAGGAAGCGACAGCACCCACGAGGTTTGAGTCTTTCCAAAAAGGAATCTTTACTGAACAGAGAAGAACAACGACAATAATTACACTGAGCAGCCTAACGAGGTTAAACACTTTTAGCGAACGGTGGGGGGGGGGGGGGGGGGGGGGGGGTTGGTGGTCTGTGTGGGGATCACGCTAGCACGGGGGGAGTTAGTTGAGCGGCTTTGTGTACAGACAGCATCGCCCTTAGCTCTCATCTCTCTCTCTGGGCTATCAAGTGGAGTTTGTATTAACTCACCCCCCTGTTCTAGTGGAGTTTGTTCGCTTTCTCTCCCCCCTTCCCCCTCTCCCCCCCCACTCTCCCCTCTCTCTCCCCATCGACTTGTTTCATTTCGCCTCCACCATGGAACTGGGGTCCAAAAGTGTCACAAAAGCCAACAAACACCCAACAAACCACCTCCCGCGTCTCCTCCCAATGCCAACAACCACAAGATCCAGCACTGCAAACTCCACACGACAAAAAAAATCAACTAAAACGGCCGAGACAAAACAACCCCGTTGGGACCTAAACCACCAGCGTCACACCAGCATCACCATCTCCACCATCACCACCAGCATCACCATCTCCACCATCACCACCACCACCATCTCCAGCATCACCACCACCACCACCATCTCCACCATCACCACCAACATCTCCAACATCTCCAACACCATCCCCATCTCCACCAACATCTCCACCACCACCATCTCCACCACCAACATCTCCACCACCACCATCTCCAGCATCACCACCACCACCACCATCTCCACCACCATCACCACCATCTCCACCACCATCTCCAGCATCACCACCATCACCACCACCATCTCCACCACCAACATCTCCACCACCATCTCCAGCATCACCACCATCACCATCTCCACCACCACCATCACCACCATCACCATAACCATCTCCACCACCTCCACCACACACAATTAATCATCGCAAGCCCCTTCACCACCACCACCACCACCACCATCTCCACCCTCACCACCACCACCATAACCATCTCCACCACCTCCACCACACACAATTAATCATCGCAAGCCCCTTCACCACCATCTCCACCCTCACCATCTCCACCACCACCATAACCATCTCCACCACCTCCACCACCATCTCCACCACCACCACACACAATGAACCGTCGCAAGCCTCTTCTGGGGTCAATGCAGCAGAGACAACGCGAGCGACTACCCCCCGGGTACAGCTGGCGGCGACTCGCTTCTATGATGTAAGAGACGATTTCTGCCTGACCTGTCTCTACACGTGGCGAGTGTGGTGTGTGTGGTGTGGTGTGTGGTGTGTGGTGAGTGTGTGGTGTGGTGTGTGTGGCGAGTGTGTGGTGAGTGTGGTGTGGCGAGTGTGGTGTGTGGTGTGGTGAGTGTGTGGTGTGGTGAGTGTGTGGTGTGGTGAGTGTGTGGCGAGTGTGGTGTGGTGAGTGTGTGGTGTGGCGAGTGTGTTGTGGCGAGTGTGGTGTGTGTGGTGTGTGGTGTGGTGAGTGGTGTGGTGAGTGTGTGGCGAGTGTGTGATGTGTTGTGGTGTGTGTGGCGTGGTGAGTGAGTGGCGAGTGTGTGGTGAGTGTGGTGTGGTGAGTGAGTGGCGAGTGAGTGGTGAGTGTGTGAGTGTGTGGTGTGTGTGGCGTGGTGAGTGAGTGGCGAGTGAGTGGTGAGTGTGTGAGTGTGTGGTGTGTGTGGCGTGGTGAGTGAGTGGCGAGTGAGTGGTGAGTGTGTGAGTGTGTGGTGTGTGTGGCGTGGTGAGTGAGTGGCGAGTGAGTGGCGAGTGAGTGGTGAGTGTGTGGCGAGTGAGTGGTGAGTGTGGTGTGGAGTGTGTGGTGTGTGGCGAGGGATAGGTGAGAGGAGTGAGGGAGGAGGTGGTGAGGAGGTGGGAGGGCATCTCGGGTTGCAATAGACAATGTGGTGAGCCGTGTGAGGTGAGCGACAAGCGAGAGAGGTGAGCGGCGTGAGGGGTGAAGGAGAGAGAGGGGGGGGTGGTGAGAGAGGGGTGAGGGTGATGTTGAGCTTGAGGTGAGGAGCGTTTGGGAGGTCGTCGCCTGGGATAAACACAAACAGCGAGGGGTGAGTGGTGAGGGGTGGGTGGGGTGGTGAGGGGAGGGAGGTGGTGAGGGGAGGGAGGTGGTGAGGGGGAGGTGGTGAGGGGAGGGATTCCACCTCCCCTTATAAGCCAGCGCGAAAGGGAAAGAGGGTATTGTTGGTGAGTGCGATTGGTGAGTGGTGAGCACGAGTGGTGAGTGCGATTGGTGAGTGGTGAGTGCGATTGGTGAGTACGAGTGGTGAGTGCGATTGGTGAGTGGTGAGCACGAGTGGTGAGCACGAGTGGTGAGTGGTGAGTGCGATTGGTGAGTGGTGAGCACGAGTGGTGAGCACGAGTGGTGAGTGGTGAGTGCGATTGGTGAGTGGTGAGCACGAGTGGTGAGTGCGATTGGTGAGTGGTGAGTGCGATTGGTGAGTGCGATTGGTGAGTGCGATTGGTGAGTGCGATTGGTGAGTGCGATTGGTGAGTGGTGAGCACGAGTGGTGAGTGGTGAGTGCGATTGGTGAGTGGTGAGCACGAGTGGTGAGTGCGATTGGTGAGTGGTGAGTGCGATTGGTGAGTGCGATTGGTGAGTGGTGAGCACGAGTGGTGAGTGCGATTGGTGAGTGGTGAGTGCGAGTGGTGAGTGCGATTGGTGAGTGGTGAGTGTGAGTGGTGAGTGCGTGCAGCCGAGATCTGCACCCTCACTTCTCCTCACACCACTGGTTCTCCTTGCGAACCTGCAGCAGCAGAACAGGGGAGCGATAAACACGGAGAGGTTAGCGACACTCCGTGAAACATTAAACTCTACTAGACCACTAAACACTAAACTCTAAACTCTACTAAACTACTAAACCACTAAACTACTAAACTCTACTAGACCACTAAACTATACTAACCACTAAACACTAAACTCTACTAGACCACTAAACACTAAACTACTAAACTCTACTAGACCACTAAACTATACTAACCACTAAACACTAAACTCTACTAGACCACTAAACTATACTAACCACTAAACACTAAACTCTACTAAACTACTAAACCACTAAACTCTACTAGACCACTAAACTATACTAACCACTAAACTACTAAACTCTACTAGACCACTAAACTATACTAAACCACTAAACACTAAACTCTACTAAACTACTAAACCACTAAACTCTACTAGACCACTAAACTATACTAAACCACTAAACACTAAACTCTACTAAACCACCACCCCACTAAACCCACACCCCGCTAAATCCACCACCCCCAAACATCTATCTTTCCCCGTGTCTCTCTCTACACCTCCCCGTGTCTCTCTCCCCGTGTCTCTCTCTACACCTCCCCGTGTCTCTCCATCTCCCCGTGTCTCTCCATCTCCCCGTGTCTCTCCATCTCCCCGTGTCTCTCTCTCTCCCCCCGTGTCTCTCTCTCTCCCCGTGTCTCTCTCTCTCTCTCCCCGTGTCTCTCTCTCTCTCTCCCCGTGTCTCTCCATCTCCCCGTGTCTCTCTCTCTCTCTCCCCGTGTCTCTCTCTCTCCCCGTGTCTCTCTCTCTCTCTCCCCGTGTCTCTCTCTCTCTCTCCCCGTGTCTCTCCATCTCCCCGTGTCTCTCTCTCTCCCCGCGTCTCTCTCCCCGTCTCTCTCCCTCTCCCCGCGTCTCTCTCTCTCCCCGCGTCTCTCTCCCCGCGTCTCTCTCTCTCCCCGCGTCTCTCTCCCCGCGTCTCTCTCTCCCCGCGTCTCTCTCTCTCCCCGCGTCTCTCTCTCTCCCCGCGTCTCTCTCTCTCCCCGCGTCTCTCTCTCTCCCCGCGTCTCTCTCTCTCCCCGCGTCTCTCTATCTCCCCGTGTCTCTCTCTCCCCGCGTCTCTCTCTCTCCCCGCGTCTCTCTCTCTCCCCGCGTCTCTCTCTCTCCCCGCGTCTCTCTCTCTCCCCGCGTCTCTCTATCTCCCCGTGTCTCTCCCCGTGTCTCTCTCCCCGTGTCTCTCTCCCCGTGTCTCTCTCCCCGTGTCTCTCTCCATCTCCCCGTGTCTCTCTCCATCTCCCCGTGTCTCTCTCCATCTCCCCGTGTCTCTCTCCATCTCCCCGTGTCTCTCTCCATCTCCCCGTGTCTCTCTCCATCTCCCCGTGTCTCTCTCTACACCTCCCCGTGTCTCTCTCCCCGTCCCACCTGTTGTTCCTCCTCCTCTGTGAAGTCGTTCTTGATGTTGAACGTCTTGCGGATCTCCTCTGGGGTCTTGCCCTTGATCATGTTGGCCACCGTCTTGCAGGTGACGTCCAGAAGACCCTTGATGTCCAGGTAGTTAGCGGCCTGAGTTCACAACCACACCGGGCTATTAGAAATAACACCAGAGACCCATAGAGATGCATAGAGACCCATAGAGATACACAGAGACCCATAGAGATACACAGAGACCCATAGAGATACACAGAGATACACAGACCCATAGAGATACATCGAGACAGAGACCCATAGAGACACATCGAGACAGAGACCCATAGAGATACACAGAGATACACAGAGACCCATAGAGATACAGAGACCCATAGAGAGAGACACACAGAGGCACAGAAACCCAATGACACACAGAGATACACAGTGACACACAGACCCATTGAGATACATAGAGACCCAGAGACCCATTGAGATACATAGAGATACAGATACATAGAGACACATCGAGACAGAGACCCATAGAGATACACAGAGATACATAGAGACCCATAGAGAAACACAGAGATACACACAGACCCATTGAGATACATAGAGACCCATAGAGACACATCGAGACAGAGACCCATAGAGATCCATCAAGACAGAGATACATAGAGATACACAGAGATACAGAGAGACCCATAGAGATACATAGAGAACCATAGACACACAGAGTTCCATAGAGACCCTTGATGTCCAGGTAGTTAGCGGCCTGAGGTTACAACCCACACCGGGCTATTAGAAATAACACCAGAGACCCATAGAGATACACAGAGATACACAGAGATACACAGAGATACAGAGACACAGAGTTCCATAGAGACCCACAGAGATACATAGAGACCCATAGAGATACACAGAAATACAGAGACCCATAACTCTCTACACTGCCCTCTGCTGCCTGCAATGTGGATAAGCAGGAGGACCTCCTCCACTCCAGAGGTCGCAACCGGGTACCCGATACCCGTACCCTACCCGATACCCGGCTACCCGTACCCGGCCGGGTACGGGTAGGGTACGGGTATCGGGTACCCGATTGCGACCTCTGGGATGAAGCCATGTTGCAGGCGCGGGTGGGTTGATTCTAGGAACTTGAATTGTGAGAAGAGACAATACGTTGGGAAATGAGTGACAAACGGTGACTTACCCGGCCAGGTACGGATACCCGTTTGCGACCCTGGTGCGGCCGGGTACGGGTACGGGTAGGCCGTGAGTCACTGGTGAGTCACCGTTTGTCACTCATTTCCCAACGTCTTGTCTCTTCTCACGATTCAAGTTCCTAGAATCAACCCACCCGGGCCTGCAACATGGCTTCATCCCAGAGGTCGCAATCGGGTACCGATACCCGCACCCTACCCAATACCCGGCCGGGTAGGGTACGGGTACGGCCGGGTACGGGTACAGGTAGGCCGTGAGTCACTAGTGAGTCACCGTTTGTCACTCATTTCGGGTAGGGTACGGGTACCCATTTGCGACCCTGGTGCGGCCGGGTACGGGTAAGGGATCAAAACCCGTTTGCGACCTCTGATCCACTCTCAACACTGCTCTTGGGTTATTTCGGTAAAGTCTCGCATAAAGATAAAATAATAAATTTCGATTTAAAGCTTTCGTGACTGCAGGGATTCATCTTCTTGGTTTTTTCGGTAAAGTCATCACGTAGAAGGGAAATAATAAAATAAAACATAATAAAATAATTCTCACGACGTTTCGGCTACAACGCAACGACCTCCTGTACACCAGGCGAGGTAGTTAACATCTCATAGCCACTGATGTTGAGAGAGACACAGACTCCAATTATACAGCAGCAGACATCGTAAGTGTCACGGGATTTAACTCATGACCTCCCGACCTCCTGTACACCAGGCGAGGTAGTCAACATCTCATAGTCACTGTGGTGATGATGAGAGAGATACAGACTCCAATTATACAGCAGCAGGCATCGTAAGTGTCACGGGATCGAACACGACCTCCTGTACACCAGGCGAGGTAGTTAACATCTCATAGCCACTGTGGTGGTGAGAGAGACGCAGACTCCAACTATACAGCAGCAGCGGGCATCAGTGTCGGGATAAAATCCACAGGCTCACCAAATAACATAGCAGGCATCGTCAGGGTCAGGGAACGAACCCCAGATGACCTCCTGTGTACCAGGCGAGGTAGTCAACATCTCTCATCATCAATAAAGTGGCTATGAGATGTTGACTACCTCGCCTGGTACGCAGGAGGTCGTGGGTTCGATCCCGTGACCCTGCGAGATGTTGACTACCTCGCCTGGTACGCAGGAGGTCACGGGCACGACCCCGTGACCCTGCGAGATGTTGACTACCTCGCCTGGTACGCAGGAGGTCGTGGGTTCGATCCCGTGACCCTGCGAGATGTTGACTACCTCGCCTGGCACGCAGGAGGTCGCGGGCATGACACTGCGAGATGTTGACTACCTCGCCTGGTACGCAGGAGGTCGTGGGTTCGACCCCGTGACCCTGCAAGATGTTGACTACCTCGCCTGGTACGCAGGAGGTCGCGGGTTCGACCCCGTGACCCTGCGAGATGTTGACTACCTCGCCTGGTACGCAGGAGGTCGCGGGTTCGACCCCGTGACCCTGCGAGATGTTGACTACCTCGCCTGGTACGCAGGAGGTCGCGGGTTCGACCCCGTGACCCTGCAAGATGTCGACTACCTCGCCTGGTACGCAGGAGGTCGCGGGTTCGACCCCGTGACCCTGCGAGATGTTGACTACCTCGCCTGGTACGCAGGAGGTCGCGGGTTCGACCCCGTGACCCTGCGAGATGTTGACTACCTCGCCTGGTACGCAGGAGGTCGCGGGTTCGACCCCGTGACCCTGCGAGATGTTGACTACCTCGCCTGGTACGCAGGAGGTCGCGTGCTTGACCCTGCGAGATGTTGACTACCTCGCCTGGTATGCAAGAGTTTGTGGGTTCGATCCCGTGACCCTGCGAGATGTCGACTGCCTCGCCTGGTACGCAGGAGGTCGCGGGCATGACCCTGCGAGATGTTGACAATAACGGGGGCGAGCCGGGGGCGGTGGACACTCACCAGGATGAGTTCGAACAGCGTGCCCTGGTCCACCTTGAGGAACTCCTGGTCCCACACGGGGATGTCATCGGTGCGTTTCTCCTTGTTCTCATCGTCCTCCGGGGGAGGCGGGTCGTCCTTGTGGTGAGTGCACCACTGGATCACCTGGTGAGGAGGTGGGGGTGAGGGTGAGGAGGTGGTGAGGGTGAGGAGGTGAGGGAGGGGGAGAGACACGAGAGAGAACGTGGTGAGGAGGTGGGTGTGAGGTGGTGAGAAGGGAGGTGAGATGTTGGTGAGGAGGTGGGGTGAGGTGAGTGGCACGAGAGACAACACAGGAGGTGAGGGTTTGGTGAGGAGGTGGTGAGAGGGGAGGGTGAGGAGGTGGTGATGAAGTGGGGGTTTGGTGAGGAGATGGGTGAGCAGGTGGTGAGAGGTTTGGTGAGGAGGTGGGATGAGGTGAGATTGTGGCGAGGAGATGGGTTTGGTGAGGAGGTGGTGAGTGACGGGGGAGACACGAGAGTTAAGATCCTTGTGGTGAGTGCACCACTGGATCACCTGGTGAGGAGGTGGTGAGGGTGAGGAGGTGGTGAGGGTGAGGAGGTGGTGAGGGTGAGGAGGTGAGGGAGGGGGAGAGACACGAGAGAGAACGTGGTGAGGAGGTGGGTGAGCAGGTGGTGAGAGGGGAGGTGAGATGGTGGTGAGGAGGTGGGGTGAGGTGAGTGGCACGAGAGACAACATGGGAGGTGGAGGTTTGGTGAGGAGGTGGTGAGAGGTGAGGTGAGAGGGTGTAGTGAGGAGGTGGTGAGAGGTGAGAGTGTGGCGAGGAGGTGGGTGAGGAGGTGGTGAGAGGGGAGGTGAGGAGGTGGGATGAGGTGAGACAGCGTGGCGAGGAGATGGGGTGGTGAGTGACGGGGGAGACAGAGTTAAGATCCTTGTGGTGAGTGCACCACTGGATCACCTGGTGAGGAGGTGGTGAGGGTGAGGAGGTGGTGAGTGATGGGGGAGACACGAGAGTTAAAATCCTTGTGCAGAGGTGGTGAGGGTGAGGTGGTGAGAGAGGGGGAGAGACACGAGAGAGACGTGGTGAGGAGGTGGGGGTTTGGTGAGGAGGTGGTGGTGGTGAGGTGGTGAGGTGGTGAGTGACGGGGGGGAGACACGAGAGTTAAGATCCTTGTGGTGAGTGCACCACTGGATCACCTGGTGAGGAGGTGGTGGTGAGGGTGAGGAGGTGGGAGAGACACGAGAGAGAACGTGGTGAGGAGGTAAGAAGGGAGGTCAGGGTGTGGCAAGAAGGTGGTGATGAGGTGGGGGTGGGGTGAGGTGAGGTGGGGGTGAGGAGGTGGTGAGGTGGTAAGAGGGGAGGGTGAAGGTGTAGTGAGGTGGTGGTGAGGAGGTGAGGTGAGGTGAGACAGCGTGGCGAGGAGATGGGGTGGTGGTGAGGAGGTGGTGAGGATGTGTTGGTGGTGACGGTGAAATGATGGTGGTGGTGATGATAGTGAGGTGATGGTGGTGATGATAGTGAGGTGATGAAGAGGTGGTGGTGGTGGTGGTGAGGATGTGTTGGTGGTGATGGTGAAATGATGGTGATGATGATGATGATAGTGAGATGATTACGAGGTGGTGGTGGTGGTGGTGGTGAGGATGTGTTGGTGGTGACGGTGAAATGATGGTGGTGGTGATGATAGTGAAATGATGAGAAGGTGGTGGTGGTGATCAGGATGTGGTGGTGATGGTGAAATGATGGTGGTGGTGGTGGTGAGGATGTGTTGGTGGTGACGGTGAAATGATGGTGGTGATGATGATAGTGAGATGATGACGAGGAGATGGTGGTGGTGGTGGTGAAGATGTGTTGGTGGTGACGGTGAAATGATGGTGATGATAGTGAGATGATGATGAGGAGATGGTGGTGATCACGATGTGGTGGTGGTGACGGTGAAATGATGGTGGTGGTGATGATAGTGAGATCATGACAAGTTGGTGGTGGTGGTGGTGAGGATGTGTTGGTGGTGACGGTGAAATGATGGTGGTGATGATAGTGAGATGATGACGAGGAGATGGTGGTGGTGGTGGTGAAGATGTGTTGGTGGTGACGGTGAAATGATGGTGATGGTGATGATAGTGAGATGATGATGAGGAGATGGTGGTGGTGGTGAAGATGTGTTGGTGGTGACGGTGAAATGATGGTGATGGTGATGAGTGAGATGATGATGAGGAGATGGTGGTGGTGGTGGTGAAGATGTGTTGGTGGTGACGGTGAAATGATGGTGATGGTGATGATAGTGAGATGATGATGAGGAGATGGTGGTGGTGGTGGTGAAGATGTGTTGGTGGTGACGGTGAAATGATGGTGATGGTGATGATAGTGAGATGATGATGAGGAGATGGTGGTGGTGGTGGTGAAGATGTGTTGGTGGTGACGGTGAAATGATGGTGGTGGTGATGATAGTGAGATGATTACAAGGTGGTGGTGGTGAGGATGTGTTTGGTGGTGACGGTGAAATGATGGTGGTGGTGATGATAGTGAGATGATGACGAGATGGTGGTGGTGGTAATCAGGATGTGTTGGTGATGACGGTGAAATGATGGTGATGATGATGATAGTGAGATGATCACAAGGTGGTGGTGGTGACGGTGAAATGATGGTGGTGATGATGATAGTGAGATGATGACGAGATGGTGGTGGTGGTGGTGAGGATGTGTTGGTGGTGACGGTGAAATGATGGTGGTGATAGTGAGATGATGGTGGTGATGATAGTGAGATGATGATGAGGTGATGGTGGTGGTGGTGAAATGATGGTGGTGGTGATGATAGTGAGGTGATGATGATACGGTGGTGGTGGTGATCTCACCTTCTTGAGGATGGCTGCGTTGACGTTGGGCAGAGGGACAGGGTCTTCATCGCCCTCTTCGTCCATACCCAAATCTAAGTGTCAGGGACACAAACACAGAGATACATACTCTAAGTTTTTTTCGGTAAAGTCACCACGTAGGTCGAAAATTATTAAAAGTCAAATAAAATAAAAATCACGACGTTTCGGAGGCAACACAAGCTTCCGTCTTCAGGTGGAACGGTCACAGCCACGACAGCTGTATCAAGTGAATGAGCGATTGCAAGAGCTACCACTCCGTTTATATAATGGTCTTTTGTTATGCAGTCTATTCTCAGTCTCAAGCCTCACCTTAGCATATTAATAAAAAGTGTGCCGTACTTGGCCCTTCCCCCACCTCTCCAACCATTATATAAACGGAGTAGTAGCAGCTCTTGCAATCTCTCATGTACTTGATGCGGCTGTCGTGGCTGTGACGGTTCCGCCTGAAGACGGAAGCTTGCGTTGCCTCCGAAACGTCGTGATTTAACTACACTTATTTGGACCATCTTATTCGACAGACAACTATTACAGGTTATTGATAGACAGCCAGGCTTGCTTTACCATGTTTAGCTGTTTTCTCCTTTTCACACTATTGTTATGTAGGCCAGGCTTAGTCACAAACCGTACCTCTCCATAACAAAGGCTCACCCTCTTAAGCCTCACCTTACCATATGAATAAAAAGTGTGCCGTATTTGGCCCTTCCCCCACCTCTCCAACCATTATATAAACGGAGTGGTAGCTCTTGCAATCTCTCATTTACTTGATACGGCTGTCGTGGCTGTGACGGTTCCACCTGAAGACGGAAGCTTGTGTTGCCTCCGAAACGTCGTGATTTTTATTTTGTTTTATTTTACTTGTACGACAGCCGTATCAAGTAAATGAGAGATTGCAAGAGCTGCTACCACTCCGTTTATATAATGGTTGGAGAGGTGGGGGAAGGGCCAAATACGGCACACTTTTTATTAATATGGTAAGGTGAGGCTTGAGACCTAAGAATAGACTGCATAACAAAAGACCATTATATAAACGGAGTGGTAGCTCTTGTAATCTCTCATTTACGTGATACAGCTGTCGTGGCTGTGACGGTTCCACCTGAAGACGGAAGCTTGTGTTGCCTCCGAAACGTCGTGATTTTTATTAATATTAATGTTTTACCTACCTGGTGACTTTACCGAAAAAACCTAAGAATATGAATCCTTGCAGTCACGAAAGCTTCAAACATAGAGATACAGACAACAAACGCCATTCGCCACTAAGTGGCGGTGATGTCACCACGGCGCTTGTGCCAGGCTATGTGCACTTTGGGGTCACGTGAAAGTGTGGAAGGATTTGTGAGCTCCTCACACAATCCAGCCTACAGGTTAAACCCAGGATGGATCGTAGGCAGGCCAGCCTAAGTGTTTCTAACCGGCGAAGATGTTCAATTAGGGGGCTCCACGTTTCGCAAGCGTAGAGAAGGGAGGGAATGACTTTGAGCTCCTCAGAAAATCCAGCCTGGTTAAACCCAGGATGGATCGTAGGCAGGCCAGCCTAAATGTTTCTAATCGGCGAAAATGTTCCATTAGGGGGGTCCACGTTTCGCAAGCGTAGAGAAGGGAGGAAATGACTTTGAGCTCCTCAGAAAATCCAGCCTGGTTAAACCCAGGATGGATCGTAGGCAGGCCAGCCTAAATGTGTCTAACCGGCGAAGATGTTCCATTAGGGGGGTCGACGTTTCGCAAGCATAGAGGAGGGAATGACTTTGGCCGAGAAGACCTGAAGCTTCGTGCGGAGCAACAGACCAGGTAGCTTCCACACAGCGTTACGCAACCGATGAATAAGTATAACCCGTAAAAACAAAGTTTTTCACTATAAATCCTTTATATGCGTGGCAGCGAACTTAATATAAAGGATTTAAAAATATATTCGCCTGTGGAGGACGCGGGGATCGATCCCGCGACCTTTGGCATGGGAAGCGAGGGCGCTACCAACTGCGCTACTCCGCCACGGCCTGTGGAGGGGTTACGCTCTGGGCTCTTACACTCTGACGTTCAGCCAAAGCCATGAATGAGTTCTATTTGAATATATGTAAAATAAATTTTTTTGCCTAAAAAGTGTAAAATTTTGGGAATTTTTTTTTCACGAACATTAATTGTCACGCACAACGAGTCTGTGTGGAAAATGTCAGCTCGATTGGATCACGGGAAGTGGGTTAAAAAACGACCGAAAGATTTGCACGGTCGTAAGCAAGCAAGCACGCAAGCACGCAAGCAAGCAAGCACGCAAGCAAGCAAGCATGCGAACTTAATATAAAGGATTTAAAAATAGGTTCGGAGTGAGACCTCTGCTGTCAAACCGGAGCTGGTCATGAGCACACTGCCCAGGTATGGGAAACTCTCCACTCTCACCACTACTGCCCCATCACCGATTGTGAGTTGTGTGGGTGGTATGTCTGGTGGTACAAAATACCCAGGCAGGTGCTTAGTTTTGGTGGGGCTGATGGTAAGGCCCCACAAACAAGCTCCAGGTTCAGCAGCAGCACCTCCAACTCCTCCTCTGAGTGAGCAGCAATTACCAGATCATCAGCATACACAACGTGGTTGTGACCAATAGAGGAGCCATCGCTTGACCGCACCCGGGCATCGATCACCCTTCCCATTATACCTGTACGAGATGAGTCCTAAGGTACAGCCATCGATGGCGTCACGAACTACTTGGTCGAAATAGACGTGAAGCAATGTGCGAGCCAGAGGACATCCCTGTCGCACCCCAAGGTGAACAGCTAATAGCTCCGACTCCCAGCCACGTAGTTTTTTACCGAGGCTTGCCCACCATCATGAAGGGTTCTTCATGATGGTGAGCAGGGAGTCAGGGGCACGAAGAACCTAGCAGCCCAGGCCTACTGATGGTATCATAGTGCCCCTTAACCATTCTAGATTTGAAGTTTTCGTGACTGCAAGGATTCAAACTCTTTGGTTAACCATGTCTGACACACACAGAGATACACAGAGATACGGTGTGTGTGTGTGTGGTGAGTGTACGGTGTGTGTTCAGTGCGTGTATGGTGTGTGTGATGTATCTGTGTGGAGAGCATGTGGTGAGCGCGTGTGGTGAGCGCGTGATGCGTGTGTGGTGAGCGCGGGTGTGGTGAGCGTGTGGTGAGCGTGTGGTGAGTGTACGGTGTGTGTTCAGTGCGTGTATGGTGTGTGTGTGCGATGTATCTGTGTGGTGAGCGTGTGCGTCTCACCCTCAAGCATGGTCTTGATGGTCACCGATTGCTTTGCGATCTCCACGTCCACCTCAAAGATCTCTCCATCGGAGCTCTGCAGCTTAATGCTAGACATGGCTACACACACACAGACACAGACAAAGATTCACCTGTGTAGCCTCAGACTGTAGGGGCAAGTGCTGATAGCGAGCACCTGTGAAGGCCAGAACGGTACACAGACACACACAGCTACACACACAGACACACACACACACAGACCTACACACACACACAGACCTACACACACACACAGCTACACACACACAGCTACACACACACAGCTACACACACACAGCTACACACACACAGCTACACACACACAGCTACACACACACAGCTACACACACACACAGCTACACACACACACAGCTACACACACACACAGCTACACACACACACAGCTACACACACACAGCTACACACACACAGCTACACACACACAGCTACACACACACAGTTACACACACACAGACTGTAGGGGCAAGTGCTGTTAGCGAGCACCTATGAGGGGGTGGGTGGCCAGCACCACGCCCGGCCGCCTTTGTCTCCCCAGTGCTAGCGATGTTTACACACCGCACCAGGTACTCATTTGAGACTAAGTCGACCTAGGGGAGGCCCAGGACTGGTTCAGATAATCGTAACCGGTGTTGGCCGTGAGCGGGAATCGAACTCTGATCTCTATATTCATAACACTAAGGATCAATGTTGGTAAGTTACATGAGAATTAAACAAAGAGTTAAGATCTGAAACTTATTAACATTTCAGGTAAAACGTTACTAACCCCAACACACAAAGGCACCGTCATTATTACCACCATTTTACTCATAAATAAATGCGTGACACTCCGTCTATTTAACTAAGCCTCGCATTTGGTAAAGTTACGCGAACATCACACAAATGAGTTCAGGTGTAAAACTGTGTACATTTAAAATGTAACGTTACTAACATCAACATTAACAATAACTCTATGGTTCTTTCGGTAAAGTCACGTATAACGATAAAATAATAAATTAAATAATAACATACCATGCTATTATTTAATGCAGTCACGAAAGCTCCAAATTTAAGATTAACAATAACATCAACATTAACATCACACAAATGAGTTCAGGTGTAAAACTGTGTACATTTAAACGTCACTAACATTAACAATAACGATTTAAAGCTTTCGTGACTGCAGGGATTCATCTTCTTGGTTCTTTCGGTAAAGTCGCGTAGAATGGAAATAAAAAACGTCGTGAGAAATATTTTATGTTTGATTTTTACTATTTTATTATTTCCATTCTACGTGACTTTACACGAAAACAACCAAGACGCTTAACAATAACATCAACATTAACAATAACATCACACAAACTGCCGATTCGAACCCCACTTGCAACCGATTCTCCCCACAATTTACAAACAACAACGTTGACGTTCGAAGCGTTACACGAAGCGGCTTAGAATTAACTAATTAACAATTAAAAGAAGTTAATAGATTTTTAAACCGTTAACCTCCAACGGTTTTTATTTTCTTAACAAAAACCATGAAAAGCCTGCGCTAGGCCGCACCCAAACCAACCCCTCCCAACGACCCCCCTTACAATTAAACAAGCTTTAACAACAAGGAATGTTACATTAACTGCAGTACGGCGAGTGGACCAACAATCACACAAAATTAAACTTTAATATCCAGTTGTTTGTTTAATGCTTTTAACAAACAAGGCCCGAAAACCGGAAAAGCCTGAGCTAGGCCGCACCCAAACAAACCCCTCTCAACGACCCCCCATTACAATTAAACAAACTTTAACAACAAGGAATGTTACATTAACTGCAGTAGGGCGAGTGGGCCAACAATCACACGAAATTAAACTTTAATATCCCGTTGTTTGTTAATGCTCTTAACAAACAAGGCCCGAAAGCATGAAAAGCCTGCGCTAGGCCGCACCCATACCAACCCCTTTCCAACGATCTCCCCCATTACAATTAAACAAACTTTAACAACAATGACCGTTAAACGAACTTTAAAGCACCGCGAGTGTAACAACAAACACGCGAAATTAACTTTAATAATCTCCCGTTGTTTGTTTAATGCTCATAACAAACAAGGCCTCAAAAAGCCTGCGATAGGCCGCAACCGCCGTATCACCAAAGCAACCACCAACCAAACCCTCCCAGCGCTCCTAACTCACAATTAAACAAACTTTAACATCGACTAACATCACACAAAACAACAACCTTATTAAGCTAACTTTAATCTGCCGTTGTTTCTATGTTTTATTGTGCTCTTAACAAAGGCCTCAAAAAGCCTGCGATAGGCCGCAGCCGCCGTATCTTCAAAGCAACCACCAACCAAACGGCGATTCTTATCGCCACTAAACAACAACTTCAATAACGAAGTGGAACAACCACAAAGTTATAAAGTTTAAAGTCGCGTTGTTAGTTTAAAACTTAAATAAACAAAACGTCTGAACGCAACCGCCGTAACCAAAACAAGCGCTCAACAGCTCCCCTCGCCACTCAAACACGCAACTTTAACAACGCTAAGCTAACTGGTTAAGTACAGCGAGTGAACAACAATAACAACAACAACAACAACGCACTAAATATAACATATAACTTTAACCCGCCCCCTCTTCCCCCCGTTGTTTTATCCTTTTAAACAACAAAAAACATCACGAAAGCCTGTGCTAGGCCGAAACAATCATAACCACCGCTCCTTACAATTAAACCCCCACACAACTTAAACGATACACAAACCAAACTACGAGTTAAACAACAACAACAATAACCACACAAAGTAACTTAAACCTTACACGTTGTTTCTATTCCCGCTTTCTTAACAAACAAAACACAAAAACCTGCGCTAGGCCGCAACAACAATCACTCTGCTAGCCACCACCGCTCCTTACAATTAAACCCCCACACACACACACACAACTTAAACGACACACAAACCAAACGAGTGAAACAACAACAATAATAACAACCACACAAAGTAACTTAAACCTTACACTTTGTTTCTATTCCCGCTTTCTTAACAAACAAAAAACACACAAAAGCCTGCGCTAGGCCGCAACAACAATCACACTACCGCTCCTTTACAATTAAACCCACCCACACAACTTAAACAATACACAAACCAAACTACGAGTGAAACAACAACAATAACAACAGCAACAACAACCACACAAAGTAACTTAAACCTTACATGTTGTTTATATTCCCGCTTTAACAAACAAAAACACACAAAAGCCTGCGCTAGGCCGCAACAACAATCATAACCACCGCTCCTTTACAATTAAACCCACACACACAACTTAAACAATACACAAACCAGACTACGAGTGAAACAACAACAATAATAACAACAACAACCACACAAAGTAACTTAAACCTTACACTTTGTTTCTATTCCCACTTTAACAAACAAATCACACAAAAGCCTGCGCTAGGCCGCAAACCGCCGTTTCCAAAACAACCAGCCAGCTCGCCTCTCTAACATTAAAACCACAACAACCACAACAACACACACGAAACCACAAGCACCTGCCGCGACTTTGTAACAAGACGAGAGGCTTCTCACCACCACCACCACAGTAGCAACAACAACAGCAGTAGTAGCACCAGCGGCTGTTGTTGAAGTTTAAAAAATGCAGTCAACGCCGAAACTAACGAAATGACAGTCAACAAAATGGCCGCCGACGCCGCGTCACGCGAACCGGAACCGGAAATGGAAGATTTGACGGTTTCGGTGACTGCATCTGGTCCCAACATCAATGTGAGACTTGGGCTCTAAGAAAATTCTAGATTTTAAAGCTTTCGTAACTGCAAGGATTCATATTCTTAAGGGTTTTTTTTCGGTAAAGTCACGTAGGTAAAAACATTTAAATTAATAAAAGTAAATAAAATAAAAAAAATTTAAGATGAAAAAAGATAAAAATAAAATATTTTAATTTTACTTTTATTGATTTAAAATTTTTTTATCTACGTGACTTTACCGAAAAAAACCTAAGAATATCTAAGAAAAGCTGTCTCGGGTGTGGAACAATCAACTTCAAGGACAGTGCATATCATTATCATCAGAGTTCATATTTTTGGTTCTTTCGGTAAAGTCACGTAGAAGGGAAATAATAAAATAATAAAAATATCAAACAATCAAAATTCTCACGAAACGACATGAGAATTTTTATTATAGATTTGTATTATTTTATTATTTCCCTTCTACGTGACTTTACCGAAAGAACCAAAAAGATGATCAGAGTTGTTTCTTTTTGTTTGCATTTTGACTGCTTGTGTTGTGGTTATTGCAAACATGATGCCTTGCATAAAGGTGTCAGTTTTTGTACCAGATAAAATGGTAAAAACCTATCACTATATTTTGGCACTGGTAAAGGAGATGTCTCAGTGTAAATGCTTCACCCCGAGCTCTCAATACTCTGATAGTGCACTGTTTTTGAGTTGTGCGCCTTTTGGCGTCATCTGGTCCAACACCATGTGAGACTAGGCTCTAAGGAAAGCTGTCTCGGGTGTGGACCAATCAACTTCAAGGACAGTGCATACATTATCAGAGTTGTGTTTTTTGTTTGCATTATGACTGCAGGTATTGTGGTCTATGTAAACATGACTCCTCGTAAAAAGGTGTCAGTTTTGTTGCCAGACAGAAGGGTAAAAAAACAATTATCATATTTTTACTGGCAAATGAGGTTCCAATGGTGTAAATGCTTCACCCCGAGCTCTCATACTCTGATGGTGCATTGTCTGAGTTGTGCGCCTTTTGGCGTCATCTGGTCCAACACCATGTGAGACTAGGCTCTAAGGAAAGCTGTCTCGGGTGTGGACCAATCAACTTCAAGGACAGTGCATACATTATCATCATCAGAGTTGTTTCTTGTTGTTTGCATTTTGACTGCTTGTGTTGTGGTTATTGCAAACATGATGCCTTGTATAAAGGTGTCAGTTTTTGTACCAGATAAAAGGGGTGAAAACCTACTACTAGGATTCATACTCTTAGGTTTTTTTGGTAAAGTCACGTAGGTAAAACATAATAATAAAATAATAATACATGAAAATAACTACATTAAATCACGACGTTTCGGAGGCAACACAAGTCTCTGTCTCCAGGTGGATTGATACTGTAAATTTGGCTGTGACGATCCTTGTGTTGCCTCCAAAACGTCATCATTTAATTTAGTTATTTTATTTTATTATTAATTTATTAATAATATTTTTGACCTCCCCCACCCACCGTGCCCCCCCCCCCTGGCTCCCACCGGGGCCACATCCTTTGAAGTCGCCAGGTTAACCAGAAACGGACTTTGATTGACAGGTGGCGTGTACGTGGGTCTCTGTGGATCTTTATGGGTCTCTATGGGTCTCTGTGGGTCTCTGTGGGTCTCTGTGGATATGGGTCTCTATGGATCTCTGTGGGTCTCTGTGGGTCTCTATGGGTCTCTATGGGTCTCTATGGGTCTCTGTGGGCGTCTGTGGGTCTCTGTGGGTCTCTGTGGGTCTCTGTGGATATGGGTCTCTATGGATCTCTGTGGGTCTCTGTGGGAGTCTGTGGGTCTCTGTGGGAGTCTGTGTGTCTCTGTGGGTCTCTGTGAGTCTCTGTGGGTCTCTGTGGGTCTCTGTGGGAGTCTGTGGGTCTCTGTGAGTCTCTGTGGGTCTCTGTGGATCTCTGTGGGTCTCTGTGAGTCTCTGTGGGTCTCCGTGGATCTCTATGGGTCTCTGTGGGTCTCTGTGAGTCTCTGTGGGTCTCTGTGGGTCTCTGTGAGTCTCTGTGGGAGTCTGTGGGTCTCTGTGAGTCTCTGTGTGTCTCTGTGGATCTCTGTGGGTCTCTGTGAGTCTCTGTGGGTCTCTGTGGGAGTCTGTGGGTCTCTGTGGGTCTCTGTGGATCTCTGTGGGTCTCTGTGGGTCTCTGTGGATCTCTGTGGGTCTCTATGGGTCTCTGTGGGTCTCTGTGGATCTCTATGGGTCTCTGTGGGTCTTTATGGGTCTCTATGGGTCTCGGTGGATCTCTGTGGATCTCTATGGATCTCTATGGGTCTCTGTGGATCTCTATGGGTCTCTAAAGTGTGGGTCTCTGTGTATCTCTGTGGGTCTGTGTGTATCTCTGTGGGGTTTTGTAGGTCTTTATGGATATCTCTATGGGTCTCTGTGGGTCTCTATGGTTATGGGTTTTTATGGGTCTCTTGTGTATCTCTTTGGATCTGTGTCTGAGTCTCTGTGGATGGGTCTTTATGGATATGGGTCTCTGTGTATCTCAGTGGGTCTCTGTGTATCTCTAGGAATTAGTCTCTATGGGTTTGCGTATGAATCTCTATGGATCTCTGTGTATTTCTATGAATGAGTCTCGATGTGTGGCTGTCTCTATGGGTCTATGTGGGTCTCTATGGGTCTTTGTGGGTGTATCTATGCGTCTGTGTATCTCTATGGGTGTCTATTGATCTGTCTAACACAGACACACAGAGACAAGCACATACAGACAGACACAGAGACACGCGTGTTCATAGAAAAGGTTTAATAATTTGGCAGTATACACAGCGCAGAGAGACACGGGGCAGAGGGTAGACAGACAGATGGGAGAGACAGAGACACGGGGAGAGAGACAGAGACACGGGGAGAGAGACAGAGACAGGAGAGAGACAGAGACACGGGGAGAGAGACAGAGACAGGAGAGAGACAGTGAGACAAGGAGGAGACACGGGGAGAGAGACAGAGAGAGACAGACAGAGACAAGGAGACAGAGACAAGGTGACAGACAGAGAGACACGGGGAGACAGAGAGAGACAGACAGAGACAAGGAGACAGAGAGACACAAGGAGAGAGACAGAGAGACACAGAGACAGAGACACAGAGACAGACAGAGACACAGAGACAGAGACACAGAGAGAGACACAGAGAGACAGAGAGACAGAGACACAGAGAGAGACAGAGAGACACAGAGAGACACAGAGACAGAGACACGGGGAGAGAGACAGAGAGACACAGAGACAGAGACACAGATACAAGGAGACAGACAGAGACACGGGGAGAGAGACAGAGACAGAGAGAGACTAGACGAGTTAAAACCACGACGGGCAGTCTCAGGCGCAAGTCATTAAACAACAACGAAGATCCACTACCAGCAGCAGCAGGCAGTGTGTGTATAGTATCCATGTGTCTATAGTACTGAGTGTATATAGTACTGTATGAGTGTGTAGTATATAGTACTGTGTGTGTATAGTACAGTGTGTATATAGTACTGTGTGTGTATAGTACTGTGTGTGTAGTATATAGTACTATGTGTATATAGTACTGTATATATAGTATCTAAGTAGTCTTGTAAGCCACGGATGTACCGACGCTGTGTATGGACGTGCTGTGTGTATAGTACTGTGTGAGTGTGTAGTATATAGTACTGTGTGTGTGTCTCTGTGTGTAGTCTATAGTACTGTGTGTGTGTCTCTGTGTGTAGTATATAGTACTGTGTGTGTGTCTGTGTGTGTAGTATATAGTACTGTGTGTGTGTCTCTGTGTGTAGTATATAGTACTGTGTGTGTGTCTCTGTGTGTAGTATATAGTACTGTGTGTGTGTCTGTGTGTGTAGTATATAGGTTTACCGCAGCCTTCGCTCGGAAGTTCGGAGAGCCGTAAGGCGTTGTAAGGATGGGTGGTGGTCGCGGGTTGCTGAGATGGAGTCTGCCTCAGTGGCCCGTGATCACAAATCACTATTTAACTCCATCAAAAAAGTAACCTGCAGCGCCACACCTATTACCATCATTAGAGGAAAAAACGGTGATCCAATCTCCGACCCCCAGGAACAGGTTTGCAGATTTGCTGAGCATTTCTGTGAGGTCCTGGGGGAGGGAAATTCTCTCAGCCAGGAAAACATCATGGCACAAAGTGGGGATAACCCTGCTGAGGCTGCGGTGCCTCAAATATTGGAAGAGGTCACCCCCTGTGAGTGGCTGGCTGAGGTGCCAGCTGTTGAGGAAGTACTGAGGGCGATCCGGAGTCTGAGACCAGGGAAGGCACCGGGCAGAGATGATCTCCCAAGCGAAATGCTGAGGGAGGGTGGCGTTTGTGCACAGACTGCCCTATATGACATCATAACAACAGTCTGGACCACTGGACGGGTTCCGCAGGACTGGAAGGATGCCCTGGTGGTCCCCCTCTTTAAGAAGGGGGACCGCACAGACTGTAACAACTACAGGGGCATCTCACTCCTCAGTGTGCCGGGTAAGGTCCTGGCAAGGATTATTCAACATCGCCTTGCTAGGCACGCTGAGGAGGGGCTTGCGGAGCCCCAATGCGGTTTCAGGAAAGGGCGGTCCTGCACAGATGCCATATTTTCTGTCCGTCTGCTACAGCAGAGGTGTAGGGAATTCCAAAAAGACCTACATCTCTGCTTTATTGACCTGGTCAAGGCCTATGATACCATCAGTAGGACTGGACTCTGGGTTGTTCTTCGTGCTTTCGGAGTCCCTGACCCTCTGCTCACAATCATTAAGGACCTTCATGATGGTGAGCGGGCCCGGGTAAAACTACGTGGCCGGGAGTCGGAGCCTTTCCCTGTACACCTTGGGGTGCGACAGGGATGTCCTCTGGCTCCCACATTATTTAACATCTATTTTGACCGCGTAGTTCGTGAAGCCTTCAATAGCTGTACCGGGGGAATTTCCATTTGGTACAGATATAATGGGAGGCTGATCGACGCCCGGGTGCGATCAAGGGATGGCTCCCTATTGGTCAACCACGTTATGTATGCCGATGATTTGGTAATAGCTGCTCATTCAGAAGAGGAGTTGGAGACGCTGCTGCTGAGACTGGAGCGTGCCACTAAGAGGTGGGGCCTTACCATCAGCCCCACCAAAACCAAGCACCTGCCTGGGTATTTTGTACCATCGGACACTCCACCCCCACAACTCCCAATTGGTGATGGGGCAGTTGTGGAGAGAGTGGAGAGTTTCCCATACCTGGGCAGTGTGCTTATGACCGGCTCCAGTCTATCAGCAGAGGTCTCACTCCGAATCAGTCGAGCGGCAATATCTTTTCATCGGTTGCGTAACGCTGTGTGGAAGCTACCTGGTCTGTCGCTCCGCACGAAGCTTCAGGTCTTCTCGGCCACGGTCATTCCCTCCCTTCTCTACGCTTGCGAGACGTGGACCCCCCTGGTGGAGCATCTTCGCCGGTTGGAAACATTTAGGCTGGCCTGCCTACGATCCATCCTGGGTTTAACCAGGCTGGATTGTGTGAGGAGCTCACAAATCCTTGAAAGATCTGGGCAAAGTCCCATCAGTGAGCTCCTCCGGCAGGCAAGGCTGCGTTGGCTGGGTCATGTAGCCCGCATGCCCAGCCACCGCATGCCTAAACAGCTTTTGTTCGGCCGGATCGAGGGGGCTAGACGGGCGCGGCACGGGCTGGAGAAGAGATGGAGTGATGTGGTACAGGAGGACGTGGAGCTGAGTGGACTTGCCGATGACTGGTACCAGCGGTGTCAAGATCGGCCTCAGTGGAGGAGGCTCGTGAAGGACGCTACTGGGCAGTTGGAGGCAGTCGCCCTCCAACAACAACGGAGGGCGGAGGAGCGACGCTCACAACAACGAGCGGAGCGCCGGGTGGCTAAAGCACAGCAAGTTGGCACAGTAGGGGGCACAGGTGGTGCATCAGCCAGTCATCTCGGTCATCTCGGTCAGTCGACCAGTGGCACCTGGGTCTGCCCCGTGACCTTCTGCCAGCGGGCTTTCGACACTTCACGTGGCCTCAAGGTGCACTTGGCCTGGCACAAGCATCGTGGTGACGTCACCGCCACTTAGTGGCGAATGGCGGTTGTTGTTGTTGTTGTAGTATATAGTACTGTGTGTGTGTCTCTGTGTGTAGTATATAGTACTGTGTGTGTGTCTCTGTGTGTAGTATATAGTACTGTGTGAGTGTGTAGTATATAGTACTGTGTGTGTGTCTCTGTGTGTAGTATATAGTACTGTGTGTGTGTCTCTGTGTGTAGTATATAGTACTGTGTGTGTGTCTCTGTGTGTAGTATATAGTACTGTGTGAGTGTGTAGTATATAGTACTGTGTGTGTGTCTCTGTGTGTAGTATATAGTACTGTGTGTGTGTCTCTGTGTGTAGTATATAGTACTGTGTTGTGTCTCTGTGTGTAGTATATAGTACTGTGTGTGTCTCTGTGTGTAGTATATAGTACTGTGTGTGTGTCTCTGTGTGTAGTATATAGTACTGTGTGTGTGTCTCTGTGTGTAGTATATAGTACTGTGTGTGTGTCTCTGTGTGTAGTATATAGTACTGTGTGTGTGTCTCTGTGTGTAGTATATAGTACTGTGTGTGTCTCTGTGTGTAGTATATAGTACTGTGTGTGTGTCTCTGTGTGTAGTATATAGTACTGTGTGTGTGTCTCTGTGTGTAGTATATAGTACTGTATGTGTGTCTCTGTGTGTAGTATATAGTACTGTGTGTGTGTCTCTGTGTGTAGTATATAGTACTGTGTGTGTGTCTCTGTGTGTAGTATATAGTACTGTGTGTGTGTCTCTGTGTGTAGTATATAGTACTGTGTGTGTGTCTCTGTGTGTAGTATATAGTACTGTGTGTGTGTCTCTGTGTGTAGTAATAGTACTGTGTGTGTGTCTCTGTGTGTAGTATATAGTACTGTGTGTGTGTCTCTGTGTGTAGTATATAGTACTGTGTGTGTGTCTCTGTGTGTAGTATATAGTACTGTGTGTGTGTCTCTGTGTGTAGTATATAGTACTGTGTGTGTGTCTCTGTGTGTAGTATATAGTACTGTGTGTGTGTCTCTGTGTGTAGTATATAGTACTGTGTGTGTGTCTCTGTGTGTAGTATATAGTACTGTGTGTGTGTCTCTGTGTGTAGTATATAGTACTGTGTGTGTGTCTCTGTGTGTAGTATATAGTACTGTGTGTGTGTCTCTGTGTGTAGTATATAGTACTGTGTGTGTGTCTCTGTGTGTAGTATATAGTACTGTGTGTGTGTCTCTGTGTGTAGTATATAGTACTGTGTGTGTGTCTCTGTGTGTAGTCTATAGTACTGTGTGTGTGTCTCTGTGTGTAGTATATAGTACTGTGTGTGTGTCTCTGTGTGTAGTATATAGTACTGTGTGTGTGTCTCTGTGTGTAGTCTATAGTACTGTGTGTGTGTCTCTGTGTGTAGTATATAGTACTGTGTGTGTGTCTCTGTGTGTAGTATATAGTACTGTGTGTGTGTCTCTGTGTGTAGTATATAGTACTGTGTGTGTGTCTCTGTGTGTAATATATAGTACTGTGTGTGTGTCTCTGTGTGTAGTATATAGTACTGTGTGTGTGTCTCTGTGTGTAGTATATAGTACTGTGTGTGTGTCTCTGTGTGTAGTATATAGTACTGTGTGTGTGTCTCTGTGTGTGTAGTCTATAGTACTGTGTGTGTGTCTCTGTGTGTAGTATATAGTACTGTGTGTGTGTCTCTGTGTGTAGTATATAGTACTGTGTGTGTGTCTCTGTGTGTAGTATATAGTACTGTGTGTGTGTCTCTGTGTGTGTAGTATATAGTACTGTGTGAGTGTGTAGTATATAGTACTGTGTGTGTGTCTCTGTGTGTAGTATAGTACTGTGTGTGTGTCTCTGTGTGTAGTATATAGTACTGTGTGTGTGTCTCTGTGTGTAGTATATAGTACTGTGTGTGTGTCTCTGTGTGTAGTATATAGTACTGTGTGTGTGTCTCTGTGTGTAGTATATAGTACTGTGTGTGTGTCTCTGTGTGTAGTATATAGTACTGTGTGTGTGTCTCTGTGTGTAATATATAGTACTGTGTGTGTGTCTCTGTGTGTAGTATATAGTACTGTGTGTGTGTCTCTGTGTGTAGTATATAGTACTGTGTGTGTGTCTCTGTGTGTAGTATATAGTACTGTGTGTGTGTCTCTGTGTGTGTAGTCTATAGTACTGTGTGTGTGTCTCTGTGTGTAGTATATAGTACTGTGTGTGTGTCTCTGTGTGTAGTATATAGTACTGTGTGTGTGTCTCTGTGTGTAGTATATAGTACTGTGTGTGTGTCTCTGTGTGTGTAGTATATAGTACTGTGTGAGTGTGTAGTATATAGTACTGTGTGTGTGTCTCTGTGTGTAGTATATAGTACTGTGTGTGTGTCTCTGTGTGTAGTATATAGTACTGTGTGTGTGTCTCTGTGTGTAGTATATAGTACTGTGTGTGTGTCTCTGTGTGTAGTATATAGTACTGTGTGTGTGTCTCTGTGTGTAGTATATAGTACTGTGTGTGTGTCTCTGTGTGTAGTATATAGTACTGTGTGTGTGTCTCTGTGTGTAGTATATAGTACTGTGTGTGTGTCTCTGTGTGTAGTCTATAGTACTGTGTGTGTAGTATATAGTACTGTGTGTGTGTCTCTGTGTGTAGTATATAGTACTGTGTGTGTGTCTCTGTGTGTAGTCTATAGTACTGTGTGTGTAGTATATAGTACTGTGTATATAGTACTATATATATAGTATCTAGGTAGTCTTGTAAGCCACGGAGGTACCAACGCTGTGTATGGACGTGCTAAACGATCGAAGACGGACTTCCTGACCGCCCTCCACCGCCAGCGGTCCGGATGTCTCCCACAGAGTTGGGATGTCGGAGTCCGTGTCCGTGTAGACCAGCAGGTTAAACGAACCTGGGGATACACGCAGAGACACCGAGATGTTACACGATTCGATTAAAAGCTTTCGTGGTGACCGCAGCGTGGATTCAGAAGGAAAAAAGATAATAAAATTATATTATATAATAAAAGAAAAATATAATAAAATAATATATATTTTTATAATAATATAACAAAATAATAAAATAAAATAATAAAATACAGTTATGAAATAGTATAATAGTATAATCTTCTTGGTTTTTTCGGTAAAGTCTCGTAGAAGGGAAATTATAAAATAATAAAACTAAAACATAATAAAATAATAAAATGTTATTATAAAATACGTAGAAGGGAAATAATAAAATAATAAAAAATAAAAAAAGCATAATAAAATTATATTATATAATAAAAGAAAAATATAATAAAATAATATATATTTTTATAATAATATAATATGAAATAACAAAACAAAAGAATATGATAATATGATAAAATAAAATAATAAAATACAGTTATGAAATAGTATAATATTATTATATTATTAAATTTCGATGTAAAGCTTCTTTCGTGACTGCAGGGATTCATCTTCTTGGTTCTTTCGGTAAAGTCGTCACGTAGAAGGGAAATAATAAAATATGATAATTGTTTTTTACCCTTCTATCTGGCAACAAAACTGACACCTTTTTTACGAGGAGTCATGTTTGCATTGACCACAATATCTGCAGTCGTAATGCAAACAAAAAACATAACTCTGATAATGTATACACTGTCCTTGAAGTTGATTGGTCCACACCCGAGACAGCTTTCCTTAGAGCCTAGTCTCACATGCGTTGGACCAGATGATTTATTCCGACTGCAGGTATTGTGGTCAATGCAAACATGACTCCTTGTAAAAAAAGGTGTCAGTTTCGTTGCCAGATAGAAGGGTAAAAAAACAATTATCGTATTTGTTACTGGCAAATGAGGTTCCAATGGTGGTTAGTGATACTCACAGGTCTCTTGCAGTAGCGGTAGGAATGTGACCGTAGCCGTGATCTGCACTATCACCGCCTTCATTTCGTCGTTGATTTCCTTGAGTGACTTCTCCCTCGGAGGCCTGGGGCAGAGACAGAGAGACAGAGATAAATATACAGATAGAGAGATACAGACAGAGAGATACAGATAGAGATACAGATAGAGATACAGAGAGTGATAGAGAGATACAGATAGAGATACAGATAGAGATACAGAGAGAGATAGAGAGATACAGATAGAGATACAGATAGAGATACAGAGAGAGATAGAGAGATATAGAGAGGTACAGATAGAGAGAGAGATAGAGAGATACAGATAGAGATACAGATAGAGATACAGAGAGAGATAGAGAGATACAGATAGAGATACAGATAGAGATACAGAGAGTGATAGAGAGATATAGAGAGGTACAGATAGAGAGAGAGATAGAGAGATACAGATAGAGATACAGATAGAGATACAGAGAGAGATAGAGAGATACAGATAGAGATACAGATAGAGATACAGAGAGAGATAGAGAGATACAGATAGAGATACAGATAGAGATACAGAGAGAGATAGAGAGATATAGAGAGGTACAGATAGAGAGAGAGATAGAGAGATACAGATAGAGATACAGATAGAGATACAGAGAGAGATAGAGAGATATAGAGAGATACAGAGACACAGAGAGAGACACAGAGAGAGACAGACAGAGACACAGAGAGAGACAGACAGAGAGAGATAAATATAGAGCGAGACAGAGAGGTACAGATAGAGAGATACAGATAGAGAGAGAGATACAGATAGAGATACAGAGAGAGATAGAGAGATACAGAGAGATACAGATAGAGAGATACAGAGAGATACAGATAGAGAGATAGAGGTACAGATAGAGACAGAGAGATACAGAGAGAGATACAGGTAGAGAGATACAGATAGAGAGATAGATACAGATAGAGATACAGATAGAGATACAGAGAGTGATAGAGAGATACAGAGAGATACAGAGAGAGATATACAGATATAGAGAGAGATACAGATAGAGATACAGATAGAGATACAGAGAGTGATAGAGAGATACAGAGAGGTACAGATAGAGAGATACAGAGAGAGATATACAGATAGAGAGAGAGATACAGAGACACAGAGAGATACAGAGACACAGAGATACAGAGAGAGATACAGATAGAGATACAGATAGAGATACAGATAGAGATACAGATAGAGATACAGATAGAGAGAGATACAGAGAGAGATACAGAGAGAGATACAGATAGAGATACAGATAGAGATACAGATAGAGATACAGATAGAGATACAGATAGAGATACAGATAGAGATACAGATAGAGATACAGATAGAGATACAGATAGAGATACAGATAGAGATACAGATAGAGATACAGATAGAGATACAGATAGAGATACAGATAGAGATACAGATAGAGATACAGATAGAGAGAGAGACAGATACATAGAGAGATACATATAGAGATACAGAGAGAGAGAGAGAGACAGAGAGAGATACAGATAGAGATAGATACAGAGAGACACAGAGATACAGATAGAGACAGAGAGATACAGAGAGAGACAGAGACACAGAGAGAGACACATGAAGGTGCGGTGATGTGATGTAGAGAGATGAGTATGTGGTGAGTGGTGAGTGAGTAGTAGTGGTGAGTGAGTGAGTGAGTGGTGAGTGGTGAGTGAGTGGTGAGTGAGTGAGTGAGTGGTGAGTGGTGAGTGAGTAGTAGTGGTGAGTGAGTGAGTGGTGAGTGAGTGGTGAGTGAGTGGTGAGTGAGTAGTAGTGGTGAGTGAGTGAGTGAGTGGTGAGTGGTGAGTGAGTGAGTGGTGAGTGAGTAGTAGTGGTGAGTGAGTGAGTGAGTGGTGAGTGAGTGGTGAGTGAGTGGTGAGTGAGTAGTAGTGGTGAGTGAGTGAGTGGTGAGTGATTGGTGAGTGAGTGGTGAGTGAGTAGTAGTGGTGAGTGAGTGAGTGGTGAGTGAGTGGTGAGTGAGTGGTGAGTGAGTAGTAGTGGTGAGTGAGTGAGTGAGTGGTGAGTGGTGAGTGAGTGAGTGGTGAGTGAGTAGTAGTGGTGAGTGAGTGAGTGAGTGGTGAGTGAGTGGTGAGTGAGTGGTGAGTGAGTAGTAGTGGTGAGTGAGTGAGTGGTGAGTGATTGGTGAGTGAGTGGTGAGTGAGTAGTAGTGGTGAGTGAGTGAGTGGTGAGTGATTGGTGAGTGAGTGGTGAGTGAGTAGTAGTGGTGAGTGAGTGAGTGAGTGGTGAGTGAGTGGTGAGTGAGTGGTGAGTGAGTAGTAGTGGTGAGTGAGTGAGTGGTGAGTGATTGGTAAATGAGTGGTGAGTGAGTAGTAGTGGTGAGTGAGTGAGTGGTGAGTGATTGGTGAGTGAGTGGTGAGTGAGTAGTAGTGGTGAGTGAGTGAGTGGTGAGTGAGTGGTGAGTGAGTAGTAGTGGTGAGTGAGTGGTGAGTGAGTGGTGAGTGAGTGGTGAGTGAGTGGTAGTGGTGAGTGAGTGAGTGGTGAGTGAGTGGTGAGTGAGTAGTAGTGGTGAGTGAGTGGTGAGTGAGTGGTGAGTGAGTAGTAGTGGTGAGTGAGTGAGTGGTGAGTGAGTGGTGAGTGAGTGGTGAGTGAGTGGTGAGTATTGTTACCCTCCGGCTATGAGCGCCGTCTTGTCACAGTGGATGGTGGTGAGCGGTAGTGGTGAGTGAGTGACTGAGTGGTGAGTGAGTGACTGACTGAGTGAGTGAGTGGTGAGTGAGTGGTGAGTAGTGGTGAGTGAGTGGTGAGTAGTGGTGAGTGAGTGACTGAGTGGTGAGTGAGTGACTGACTGAGTGAGTGAGTGGTGAGTGAGTGGTGAGTGAGTGGTGAGTGAGTATTAGTGAGTAGTGGTGAGTAGTGGTGAGTGAGTGGTGAGTGAGTGGTGAGTATTAGTGAGTATTAGTGAGTAGTGGTGAGTGAGTGAGTGGTGAGTGAGTGGTGAGTGAGTGAGTGATGAGTAAGTGGTGAGTGAGTGGTGAGTATTAGTGAGTGAGTAGTGGTGAGTGAGTGAGGAGTGAGTGGTGAGTGAGTGGTAGTGGTGAGTGAGTGAGTGGTGAGTGAGTAGTGGTGAGTAGTGGTGAGTGAGTGAGTGGTGAGTAGTGGTGAGTGAGTGAGTGGTGAGTAGTGGTGAGTGAGTGAGTGGTGAGTAGTGGTGAGTGAGTGAGTGGTGAGTAGTGGTGAGTGAGTGAGTGGTAGTGGTGAGTGGTAGTGGTGAGTGGTAGTGGTGAGTGGTAGTGGTGAGTGGTAATGGTGAGTGGTAGTGGTGAGTGGTAGTGGTGAGTGGTAGTGGTGAGTGGTAGTGGTGAGTGGTAGTGGTGAGTGGTAGTGGTGAGTGGTAGTGGTGAGTGGTAGTGGTGAGTGGTAGTGGTAGTGGTGAGTGGTAGTGGTGAGTGGTAGTGGTGAGTGGTAGTGTTGAGTGGTAGTGGTGAGTGGTAGTGGTGAGTGGTAGTGTTGAGTGGTAGTGGTAGTGGTGAGTGGTAGTGGTGAGTGGTAGTGGTGAGTGGTAGTGTTGAGTGGTAGTGTTGAGTGGTAGTGGTGAGTGGTAGTGGTGAGTGGTAGTGGTGAGTGGTAGTGGTGAGTGGTAGTGGTAGTGGTGAGTGGTAGTGTTGAGTGGTAGTGTTGAGTGGTAGTGTTGAGTGGTAGTGTTGAGTGGTAGTGGTGAGTGGTAGTGGTGAGTGGTAGTGGTGAGTGGTGAGTGGTAGTGTTGAGTGGTAGTGGTGAGTGGTAGTGGTGAGTATTAGTGAGTAGTGGTGAGTAGTGGTGAGTATTAGTGAGTGTTGTTACCCTCCGGCTGTGAGCGCCGTCTTGTCACAGTGGATGTCGAACTGCCATCGCTCTACGACGGCCCCAGAAGAGACCTCAGCCAGGACCAGCACCACCTTCTGCACCGTGCAGCTCACCAGCCACTCTGCAGATACATACACATAGATACACACAGATAGATACATATAGATACACACAGATACATACATATAGATACATAGATACATACAGATACACACACACCAACACCAGCACCACCTTCTGCACCGTGCAGCTCACCAGCCACTCTGCAGATACATACACATAGATACACACAGATAGATACATATAGATACACACAGATACATACATATAGATACATAGATACATACAGATACACACACACCAACACCAGCACCACCTTCTGCACCGTGCAGCTCACCAGCCACTCTGCAGATACATACACATAGATACACACAGATAGATACATATAGATACACACAGATACATACATATAGATACATAGATGCATACAGATACACACACACATACACACACACCAACACCAGCACCACCTTCTGCACCGTGCAACTCACCAGCCACTCTGCAGATACATACACATAGATACACACAGATAGATACATATAGATACACACAGATACATACATATAGATACATAGATACATACAGATACACACACACCAACACCAGCACCACCTTCTGCACCGTGCAGCTCACCAGCCACTCTGCAGATACATACACATAGATACACACAGATAGATACATATAGATACACACAGATACATACATATAGATACATAGATACATACAGATACACACACACCAACACCAGCACCACCTGCACCGTGCAGCTCACCAGCCACTCTGCAGATACATACACATAGATACACACAGATAGATACATATAGATACACACAGATACATACATATAGATACATAGATACATACAGATACACACACACATACACACACACCAACACCAGCACCACCTTCTGCACCGTGCAGCTCACCAGCCACTCTGCAGATACATACACATAGATACACACAGATAGATACGTATAGATACACACAGATACATACATATAGATACATAGATACATACAGATACACACACACATACACACACACCAACACCAGCACCACCTTCTGCACCGTGCAGCTCACCAGCCACTCTGCAGATACATACACATAGATACACACAGATAGATACATATAGATACACATAGATACACACAGATAGATACGTATAGATACACACACACACACCAACACCAGCACCATTTTCTGCACCGTGCAGCTCACCAGCCACTCTGCATACAGAGATACACACAGATACACACACAGTGTATAGTGTAGTGTATAGTGTAGTGTATAGTGTAGTGTATAGTAGTGTATAGTGTAGTGTATAGTGTAGTGTATAGTGTAGTGTATAGTGTAGTGTGTAGTGTAGTGTATAGTATAGTATAGTGTATAGTGTAGTGTATAGTGTAGTGTATAGTAGTGTATAGTGTAGTGTATAGTAGTGTATAGTGTAGTGTATAGTGTAGTGTATAGTGTAGTGTGTAGTGTATAGTGTAGTGTATAGTGTCATGTATAGTGTAGTGTATAGTGTATAGTATAGTGTATAGTGTAGTGTATAGTAGTGTAGTGTATAGTGTAGTGTGTAGTGTATAGTGTAGTGTATAGTGTAGTGTATAGTGTAGTGTGTAGTGTATAGTGTAGTGTATAGTGTAGTGTATAGTGTAGTGTGTAGTGTAGTGTGTAGTGTATAGTGTAGTGTATAGTGTAGTGTATAGTGTAGTGTATAGTGTAGTGTGTAGTGTATAGTGTAGTGTATAGTGTCATGTATAGTGTAGTGTATAGTGTATAGTATAGTGTATAGTGTAGTGTATAGTAGTGTAGTGTATAGTGTAGTGTGTAGTGTATAGTGTAGTGTATAGTGTAGTGTATAGTGTAGTGTGTAGTGTATAGTGTAGTGTATAGTGTAGTGTGTAGTGTATAGTGTAGTGTATAGTGTAGTGTATAGTGTAGTGTGTAGTGTATAGTGTAGTGTATAGTGTAGTGTATAGTGTATAGTAGTGTATAGTGTAGTGTATAGTGTAGTGTATAGTGTAGTATATAGTGTAGTGTATAGTGTAGTGTATAGTAGTGTAGTGTATAGTGTAGTATATAGTGTAGTGTATAGTGTAGGGTATAGTGTAGTGTATAGTGTAGTGTATAGTGTAGTGTATAGTGTAGTGTATAGTGTATAGTGTAGTGTATAGTGTGTAGTGTATAGTGTAGTGTATAGTGTAGTGTATAGTGAAGTGTATAGTGTAGTGTATAGTATAGTGCAGTGTATAGTGTAGTGTGTAGTGTAGTGTATAGTGTAGTGTATAGTGTAGTGTATAGTGTAGTGTATAGTTTATAGTGTATAGTGTAGTGTATAGTGTAGTGTATAGTGTAGTGTATAGTGTAGTGCATAGTGTAGTGTATAGTATTGTAGTGTATAGTATTGTAGTGTATAGTGCAGTGTATAGTGTGTAGTGTAGTGTATAGTGTAGTGTATAGTGTAGTGTGTAGTGTATAGTGTAGTGTATAGTGTAGTGTGTAGTGTAGTGTATAGTGTAGTGCATAGTGTAGTGTATAGTATTGTAGTGTATAGTATTGTAGTGTATAGTGCAGTGTATAGTGTATAGTGTAGTGTATAGTGTAGTGTATAGTGTAGTGTGTAGTGTATAGTGTAGTGTATAGTGTAGTGTGTAGTGTAGTGTAGTGTATAGTGTAGTGTATAGTGTAGTGTATAGTGTAGTGTAGTGTGTAGTGTATAGTGTAGTGTATAGTGTAGTGTATAGTGTAGTGTATAATGTAGTGTATAGTATAGTGTAGTGTGTAGTGTGTAGTGTAGTGTATAGTGTAGTGTATAGTGTAGTGTATAGTGTAGTGTATAGTGTAGTGTATAGTATAGTGTAGTGTGTAGTGTATAGTGTAGTATATAGTGTAGTGTATAGTGTAGTGTATAGTGTAGTGTATAGTGTAGTGTATAGTGTAGTGTATAGTGTAGTGTATAGTATAGTGTATAATGTAGTGTATAGTATAGTGTAGTGTGTAGTGTATAGTGTAGTGTATAGTGTAGTGTATAGTGTAGTGTATAGTGTATAGTGTAGTGTATAGTGTATAGTATAGTGTAGTGTATAGTGTAGTATATAGTGTAGTGTATAGTGTAGTGTGTAGTGTAGTGTATAGTGTAGTGTATAGTGTAGTGTATAGTATAGTGTATAGTGTAGTGTATAATGTAGTGTATAGTGTAGTGTATAGTGTAGTATATAGTGTAGTGTATAGTGTAGTGTGTAGTGTATAGTGTAGTGTATAGTGTAGTGTATAGTGTAGTGTGTAGTGTATAGTGTAGTGTATAGTGTAGTGTATAGTGTAGTGTGTAGTGTATAGTGTAGTGTATTTACCCTTTAGTTGAGTGGTGACGCTGGTGAGGTAGGACACCAGCTTGGGGTCTGTGCTGGTGTAGAGGCTCATGCCGTACAGTAGTGTAGTGTATAGTGTAGTGTATAGTGTATAGTAGTGTAGTGTATAGTGTAGTGTGTAGTGTATAGTGTAGTGTATAGTATAGTGTAGTGTATAATGTAGTGTATAGTGTAGTGTAGTAGTGTAGTGTAGTAGTGTGTAGTGTATAGTGTAGTGTATAGTGTAGTGTATAGTGTAGTGTGTAGTGTATAGTGTATTGTATATTTACCCTTTAGTTGAGTGGTGACGCTGGTGAGGTAGGACACCAGCTTGGGGTCTGTGCTGGTGTAGAGGCTCATGCCGTACAGTAGTGCAGTGTATAGTGTAGTGTATAGTGTATAGTAGTGTAGTGTATAGTGTAGTGTGTAGTGTATAGTGTAGTGTATAGTATAGTGTAGTGTATAATGTAGTGTATAGTGTAGTGTAGTAGTGTAGTGTAGTAGTGTGTAGTGTATAGTGTAGTGTATAGTGTAGTGTATAGTGTAGTGTAGTGTATAGTGTATAGTAGTGTAGTGTATAGTGTAGTGTGTAGTGTATAGTGTATAGTAGTGTAGTGTATAGTGTACAGTAGTGTAGTGTATAGTGTAGTGTAGTGTATAGTGTATAGTAGTGTAGTGTATAGTGTAGTGTGTAGTGTATAGTGTAGTGTAGTTACCCTTTAGTTGAGTGGTGACGCTGGTGAGGTAGGACACCAGCTTGGGGTCTGTGCTGGTGTAGAGGCTCATGCCGTACTTGATGGATCTCTGGAACGTCTCCACTGGGTAGACGCCTCGCTGGTACAGGATGGAGCTGAGTCCGTAGACTACACAGACACATAGAGATACACATATAGATATATAGAGATACATAGAGATACATAGAGATACAGAGAGATATACATAGCGATAACCATAGAGACACACACAGAGACACACAGACATACATAGAGATATACATAGATATACATAGAGACATACAGATATACATAGAGACATACATAGAGACATACACAGAGACACACAGCTATACATAGAGATATACATAGATATACACAGATATACATAGACTACACACACAGAGACACACAGACACACACAGATATACATAGACTACACACACAGAGACACACATAGACTACACACACAGAGACACACAGACACACACAGATATACATAGACTACACACACAGAGACACACAGACACACACAGATATACATAGACTACACACACAGAGACACACAGACACACACAGATATACATAGACTACACACACAGAGACACACAGACACACACAGATATACATAGACTACACACACAGAGACACACAGAGACACATAGACTACACACACAGAGACACACAGACACACACAGATATACATAGACTACACACACAGAGACACACAGACACACACAGACACACATAGACTACACACACAGAGACACACAGACACACATAGACTACACACACAGAGACACACAGACACACATAGATATACATAGACTACACACACAGAGACACACAGACACACACACAGATATACATAGACTACACACACAGAGACACACAGACACACACAGACTACACACACAGAGACACACAGACACACACAGATATACATAGACTACACACACAGAGACACACAGACACACACAGACACACATAGACTACACACACAGAGACACACACAGATATACATAGACTACACACACAGAGACACACAGACACACACAGACACACATAGACTACACACACAGAGACACACACAGATATACATAGACTACACACACAGAGACACACAGACACACACAGATATACATAGACTACACACACAGAGACACACAGACACACACAGACACACATAGACTACACACACAGAGACACACACAGATATACATAGAATACACACACAGAGACACACAGACACACACAGACACACATAGACTACACACACAGAGACACACACAGATATACATAGAATACACACACAGAGACACACAGACACACACAGACACACATAGACTACACACACAGAGACACACAGACACACACAGATATACATAGACTACACACACAGAGACACACAGACACACATAGACTACACACACAGAGACACACAGACACACACAGATATACATAGACTACACACACAGAGACACACAGACACACATAGACTACACACACAGAGACACACAGACACACACAGATATACATAGACTACACACACAGAGACACACAGACACACACAGACACACATAGACTACACACACAGAGACACACACAGATATACATAGACTACACACACAGAGACACACAGACACACACAGATATACATAGAATACACACACAGAGACACACAGACACACACAGACACACATAGACTACACACACAGAGACACACACAGATATACATAGACTACACACACAGAGACACACAGACACACACAGATATACATAGACTACACACACAGAGACACACAGACACACATAGACTACACACACAGAGACACACAGATATACATAGACTACACACACAGAGACACACAGACACACATAGACTACACACACAGAGACACACAGACACACACAGATATACATAGACTACACACACAGAGACACACAGACACACATAGACTACACACACAGAGACACACAGACACACACAGATATACATAGACTACACACACAGAGACACACAGACACACATAGACTACACACACAGAGACACACAGACACACACAGATATACATAGACTACACACACAGAGACACACAGACACACATAGACTACACACACAGAGACACACAGACACACACAGATATACATAGACTACACACACAGAGACACACAAACATGCTTAGAGATACATAGAGATACATGGAGATAACCATAGCTATACATAGAGACACACACATACATAGAGACATACATAGAGATACAGAGAGACACACACAGACACACATAGACATGCATAGAGATATACATATCTCTGTGAGTGAATGAGTGAGTGGTGAGTGAGTGAATGAGTGAGTGAATGAGTGAGTGGTGAGTGAATGAGTGAGTGAATGAGTGAGTGAGTGGTGAGTGAGTGGTGAGTGAGTGGTGAGTGAATGAGTGGTAAGTGGTGAGTTCGTGGTAAGTGAATGAGTGAGTGAGTGGTGAGTGAGTGGTGAGTGAATGAGTGGTAAGTGGTGAGTTCGTGGTAAGTGAATGAGTGAGTGGGTGAGTGAGTGAATGAGTGAATGAGTGAGTGGGTGAGTGAATGAGTGAGTGAATGAGTGAGTGAATGAGTAAATGAGTGAGTGAATGAGTGAGTGAATGAGTGAATGAGTGAGTGATTGAGTGAGTGAATGAGTGAGTGAATGGGTAAATGAGTGAGTGAATGAGTGAGTGAATGAGTGAATGAGTGAGTGAATGAGTGAGTGGTGAGTGAGTGAATGAGTGAATGGTGAGTGAATGAGTGAGTGAATGAGTGAGTGAATGAGTGAATGAGTGAGTGAATGATGGAGTGAATGAGTGAGTGAATGAGTGAGTAAGTGAATGAGTGAATGAGTGAGTGACTAAGTGAATGAGTGAGTGAATGAGTGAATGAATGAGTGAATGAATGAGTGGTGAGTTTTACAGAAATATTCGGCAACAATCTCCGAGCTTCCACGCAGCGTGATGCCCTCACGTGTCACCACTCCAGCCATCACTCCTCGCTGTGTCTGTCTGTGTGTGTCTGTGTGTGTCTGTCTGTGTCTGTCTGTGATGTCTCTGTGTGTGTCTGTGTCTCTGTCTGTCTGTGTGTGTCTGTGTGTGTTTGTGTGTGTCTGTGTGTGTGTCTGTGTGTGTGTGTGTCTGTGTGTGTGTGTCTGTGTGTTTGTGTGTGTCTGTGTGTGACTGTGTGTGTGTCTGTCTGTGTCTGTGTGTGTTTGTGTGTGTCTGTGTGTGACTGTGTGTGTCTCTGTCTGACTGTGTGTGTCTGTGTGTGTTTGTGTGTGTCTGTGTGTGTGTCTGTGTGTGTGTCTCTGTGTGTGTGTGTCTGTGTGTGTGTGTCTGTGTGTTTGTGTGTGTCTGTGTGTGTGTGTCTGTGTGTGTCTGTGTGTGACTGTGTGTGTGTCTGTCTGTGTCTGTGTGTGTTTGTGTGTGTCTGTGTGTGACTGTGTGTGTCTCTGTCTGTCTGTGTGTGTCTGTGTGTGTTTGTGTGTGTCTGTGTGTGTGTCTCTGTGTGTGTGTGTCTGTGTGTGTCTGTGTGTTGTGTGTGTCTGTGTGTGTGTCTGTGTGTGTGTCTGTGTGTGTGTCTGTTTGTGTGTGTCTGTGTGTGTGTCTCTGTGTGTGTGTGTGTCTGTGTGTGACTGTGTGTGTGTCTGTCTGTGTCTCTGTGTGTCTGTGTGTGTCTGTGTCTCTCTGTGTGTATCTCTCTGTGTGTATCTCTGTATCTCTGTGTATCTGTATGTATCTATCTCTGTATCTCGGTGTGTATCTCTCTATGTATCTCTGTCTCTCTCTGAGTGTGAATCTCCGTGTGTTCGCGTCTCTGTGTCTCTATGTATATATATCTGTATCTCTCTATCTCTATGTATCTCTCTCTGTGTGTATCTCTGTATCTCTCTCTGTATCTCTATCTATGTATCTCTCTATCTCTCTGTATCTATCTCTCTCTGTATCTATCTCTCTATGTATCTCTGTATCTCTCTATCTCTATGTATCTCTGTGTGTATCTCTCTATGTATATCTCTGTATATCTCTATCTATCTCTCTATCTCTGTATCTCTATCTCTGTGTATCTCTGAGTGTATCTCTATCTCTCTCTATCTGTATATCTGTGTATCTCTATGTATCTCTCTCTCTATCTGTATATCTCTGTGTATCTCTCTATATATCTCTGAGTATCTATCTCTGAGTATCTCTCTGTGTGTATCTCTGAGTGTATCTCTATGTATCTCTATCTCTCTCTCTGTATATCTCTATGTATCTCTATCTGTATATCTCTGTGTATCTCTATCTCTCTCTATCTGTATATCTCTGTGTATCTCTCTATATATCTCTATCTATCTATCTATCTCTGAGTATCTATCTGTATATCTCTGAGTGAGTATCTCCAAGTGAATCTCCGAGTCGCCGCGTTTCTTTCAAATCCGCTCCCGTTGGATTCAAACCGCGCGGCCGTTGGGAATCGATACGCCGCGAATCGAGAAACGAATCGCGTGGTATCGATTCTAGCAGAATCGATTCGTTTATTTCAAAGACACGAAAGGAATCTGAAAAGCTGTGAAGCTCTTTAGTAACCGCCGATTGCACCCTCATCACCCCCCCTACCCATCGATAACGTTGGTTCGACGTTTTAGGTGCAGAAGGGGCGAGAATGAGGGAGGAATCGATTAGCTTTAGGAGTCGAATCGATTCCGCAAACTGTCGATTTCATTTTTGGAGTTGAATCGAAGTCGGGTCACGTGGGCGACGCAAAAAAAATGTCGGCGGAATCGATCCGGAAGGAATCGATTGATGGAAGAATCGAACAAAAATCTGAATCGATTCCGTGTAATGGCAACAACGGTAACGTTAGAAGGGAAAGAAGGAAATAAAAAAATTGTAAAACAATAAATTATAATTCTTGGTTCTTTCGGTAAAGTCACGTCGAAGGGAAATAATAAATAAATGAAAATAAAACATAATAAAATAATAAAAATGAAACATAATAAAACATCATATTTTATTTTTATTATTTAAAATTGTATTATGTTTTATTTTTATTATTTATTATTTCATAATGTTTTATATGTATTAGTTTCTTATTTTAGTATTTTTATTATTTATTATTTTATTATGTATTATGTTTTCTTTTTATTATTTAGAGATGTTTTCTTTTTATTATTTATTATTTTAAGATGTTTTATTTGTATTATTTATTATTTTATAATATTTTATTTTTATTCTTTTATTGTTTTATTTTATTATTTTATTACTTCCCTTCTACGTGACGACTTTACCGAAAGAACCAAGAAGATGAATCCCTGCTGCAGTCACGAAAGAAGCTTTACATCGAAATTGAACTGTCTGTGGCGATGACGTCATCGCACACGGCTAGGTATGTGCGTGATGACGTCATCGCGTACAGCAAGAAGCGGTGCGTAGGTGCGTGATGACGTCATCGCGTACGGCAGAGGAGGTGAGTGGGTGCGTTATGACGTCATCGCGTACGGCAAAGGAGGCGAGTAGGTGCGTGATGACGTCATCGCGTACGGCAGAGGAGGCGAGTAGGTGCGTGATGACGTCATCGCGTACGGCAAAGGAGGCGAGTGGGTGCGTGATGACGTCATCGCGTACGGCAAGGGGGTGAGTGGGTGCGTGATGACGTCATCGCGTACGGCAAGAAGCGGTGCGTAGGTGCGTGATGACGTCATCGCGTACGGCAAAGGAGGCGAGTGGGTGCGTGATGACGTCATGAAAACAAACCTCGAAAAATTTAGTGACGTCACCGCTTGGAGGAATTGTCTCGACGTGACGTCACCACGCACGGCAAGGCAATTGCGTGATGACGTCATCACGTAGTAGCTTGAGGATACGCCATTGACCGTGATGACGTCACCACGCAAGGCCTCAAAGCCTCGATCGTGACGTCACCACGCACGGAGCAAAGGCCTTGTCGATGACGTCACCACGCGCGTAGCAAAGGTCTTGTCGGTGACGTCACCACGCACGGAGCAAAAGCCTTGTCGGTGACGTCACCACGCACGATTACGTCACCACGCACGCCTTGTCGGTGACGTCATTACGCACGACCACGTCATCACGCACGTACCAAACATTGTCGGTGACGTCACCACGCACGTAGCAAGATCTTGTCGGTGACGTCATCACGCACGTAGCAAGTGACGTCACCACGCACGGAGCAAAAGCCGTGCCGGTGACGTCACCACGCACGCCTACGTCATCACGCACGATGACGTCACCACGCACGCGGCGTAGGCCTTGTCCGTGACGTCACCACGCACGGAGCAAGGCCTTGTCGGTGACGTCATCACGCACGATGACGTCACCACGCACATAGCGTAGGCCTTGTGTGTGACGTCACCACGCACGAGGCGTTCTGCGTAGACCTTGTCGGTGACGTCACCACGCACGGAACGAAGGCCTTGTTAGTGACGTCACTACGCACGTCTACGTCATCACGCACGGAGCAAAGGCCTTGTCGGTGACGTCACCACGCACGAGGCGTTCTGCGTAGGCCGCCGCCTTGTAGGTGGTGGTGGAATTTGTTGTTTAAGATCTTTGACGCGTTTAATGATAAACAATTAACAACAACAACAACCACAACAACAACAACAACAACCACAACAACAACCACAACAACAGGAGGAGGAGGAGGTTGACGTAGCGATGGAGGCGAAGTCGTTCACGAGAGAAGTTGACCATTGGATCGAGCAGCTGTACCAGTGCAAACAGCTGGGTGAGGTGCAAGTGCGAGCTCTGTGTGAGAAGGTGAGTCACCCACTTAGTCACTCAGTGAGTCACCCAGTGAGTCAGTGAGTCACTCAGTCAGTCACCCATTGAGTCACCCAGTCAGTCACCCAGTCAGTCACTCAGTCAGTGAGTCAGTCACTCACTCAGTCACTCAGTCACTCACTCACTCACTCAGTCACTCAGTCACTCAGTCACTCACTCAGTCACTCACTCAGTGAGTCACTCAGTCACTCAGTCACTCAGTCAGTCACTCAGTCACTCACTCAGTCACTCACTCAGTCAGTCACTCACTCAGTCACCCAGTGAGTCACTCAGTGAGTCACTCAGTCACTCAGTCAGTCACTCAGTGAGTCACTCAGTCAGTCACTCAGTCACTCACTCAGTCACTCAGTCACTCACTCAGTCACTCAGTGAGTCACTCAGTCACTCAGTCACTCAGTCACTCAGTGAGTCACTCAGTCAGTCACTCAGTCACTCACTCAGTCACTCACTCAGTCAGTCACTCAGTCACTCACTCAGTCACTCACTCACTCACCACACTGTATCAGTGCAAACAGCTGGGTGAGGTGCAAGTGCGAGCTCTGTGTGAGAAGGTGAGTCACCCACTTAGTCACTCAGTGAGTCACCCAGTGAGTCAGTGAGTCACTCAGTCAGTCACCCATTGAGTCACCCAGTCAGTCACCCAGTCAGTCACTCAGTCAGTGAGTCAGTCACTCACTCAGTCACTCAGTCACTCAGTCATTCACTCAGTCACTCACTCAGTGAGTCACTCAGTCACTCAGTCACTCAGTCAGTCACTCAGTCACTCACTCAGTCACTCACTCAGTCAGTCACTCACTCAGTCACCCAGTGAGTCACTCAGTGAGTCACTCAGTCACTCAGTCAGTCACTCAGTGAGTCACTCAGTCAGTCACTCAGTCACTCACTCAGTCACTCACTCAGTCACTCACTCAGTCACTCACTCACTCAGTCACTCAGTGAGTCACTCAGTCACTCAGTCACTCAGTCACTCAGTGAGTCACTCAGTCAGTCACTCAGTCACTCACTCAGTCACTCACTCAGTCAGTCACTCAGTCACTCACTCAGTCACTCACTCACTCACCACACTGTATCAGTGCAAGCAGCTGGGTGAGGTGCAAGTGAGAGCTCTGTGTGAGAAGGTGAGTCACCCAGTGAGTCACTCACTCAGTCACTCAGTCAGTTAGTCAGTCACTCAGTCAGTCAGTGAGTCACCCAGTCAGTCACTCACTCACCACACTGTACCAGTGCAAGCAGCTGGGTGAGGTGCAAGTGAGAGCTCTGTGTGAGAAGGTGAGTCACTCACTCAGTCACTCACTCAGTCACCCAGTGAGTCACTCAGTCACTCAGTCACTCAGTCACTCAGTCAGTCACTCACTCAGTCACTCACTCAGTCACTCAGTCAGTCACTCAGTCACTCAGTCAGTCACTCACTCAGTCACTCAGTCAGTCACTCACTCAGTCACTCAGTCACTCAGTCAGTCAGTCACTCAGTCAGTCAGTCACTCAGTCAGTCAGTCACTCACTCAGTCACTCAGTCACTCACTCACTCAGTCAGTCACTCAGTCAGTCAGTTACTCAGTCAGTCACTCACTCAGTCACTCAGTCAGTCAGTCACTCAGTCACTCACTCAGTCACTCACTCACCACTCAGTCACTCACTCACTCAGTCACCCAGTGAGTCAACCAGTGAGTCACCCAGTGAGTCACCCAGTGAGTCACTCACTCACTCAGTCAGTCACTCACCACACTGTATCAGTGCAAGCAGCTGGGTGAGGTGCAAGTGAGAGCTCTGTGTGAGAAGGTGAGTCACTCACTCAGTCACTCACTCAGTCACTCACTCAGTCACTCAGTCACTCACTCAGTCACTCAGTCAGTCACTCAGTCACTCAGTCACTCACTCAGTCACCCAGTGAGTCACCCAGTCAGTCACTCAGTCAGTCACTCAGTCAGTCACTCACTCAGTCACTCACTCAGTCACTCACTCACCACACTGTACCAGTGCAAGCAGCTGGGTGAGGTGCAAGTGCGAGCTCTGTGTGAGAAGGTGAGTCACTCACTCAGTCACCCAGTCAGTCACTCAGTCAGTCAGTCACTCAGTCAGTCACTCACTCAGTCACTCACTCAGTCACTCAGTCAGTCACTCAGTCAGTGAGTCACTCACTCAGTCACTCAGTCACTCACTCAGTCAGTCACTCAGTCACTCACTCAGTCACTCAGTCAGTCACTCACTCAGTCAGTCACTCACTCACTCAGTCAGTCACTCACTCAGTCACTCAGTCACTCACTCAGTCACTCACTCAGTCAGTCACTCACTCAGTCACTCACTCACTCACCACACTGTACCAGTGCAAGCAGCTGGGTGAGGTGCAAGTGAGAGCTCTGTGTGAGAAGGTGAGTCACTCACTCAGTCACTCACCACTCAGTCAGTCAGTCACTCAGTCAGTCAGTCAGTCACTCACTCAGTCACTCACTCACTCAGTCACTCAGTCAGTCACTCAGTCACTCAGTCAGTCACTCAGTCAGTCACCCAGTGAGTCAGTCACTCAGTGAGTCACCCAGTCACTCAGTCAGTCAGTCACTCAGTCACTCAGTCAGTCACTCAGTCACTCACTCACCACACTGTACCAGTGCAAGCAGCTGGGTGAGGTGCACGTGAGAGCTCTGTGTGAGAAGGTGAGTCACCCAGTGAGTCACTCACTCAGTCAGTCAGTGAGTCATCCAGTCAGTCACTCAGTCAGTCACTTACTCACTCACTCAGTCACTCAGTCACTCACTCAGTCACTCACTCAGTCAGTCAGTCACTCAGTCACTCAGTCACTCACTCAGTCACTCACTCAGTCACTCAGTCACTCACTCAGTCACTCAGTCAGTGAGTCACTCACTCACCCAGTCAGTCAGTCAGTCACTCAGTCACTCACCACACTGTACCAGTGCAAGCAGCTGGGTGAGGTGCAAGTGAGAGCTCTGTGTGAGAAGGTGAGTCACTCAGTCAGTCACTCACTCAGTCAGTCAGTCAGTCACTCAGTCACTCACTCAGTCACTCAGTCAGTCACTCAGTCAGTCAGTCACTCAGTCAGTCAGTCACTCAGTCAGTCACTCACTCACTCACTCATTCAGTCACTCACTCAGTCACTCACCACACTGTACTAGTGCAAGCAGCTGGGTGAGCTGCAAGTGAGAGCTCTGTGTGAGAAGGTGAGTCACTCAGTCAGTCAGTCACTCAGTCACTCACTCAGTCAGTGAGTCACTCACTCACCCAGTCAGTCAGTCACTCAGTCACTCACCACACTGTACCAGTGCAAGCAGCTGGGTGAGGTGCAAGTGAGAGCTCTGTGTGAGAAGGTGAGTCACTCACTCAGTCAGTCACTCAGTCACTCACTCAGTCACTCAGTCAGTCACTCAGTCAGTCAGTCACTCAGTCACTCAGTCACTCAGTCAGTCACTCAGTCACTCACTCAGTCACTCACTCAGTCAATCACTCAGTCACTCACCACACTGTACTAGTGCAAGCAGCTGGGTGAGTTGCAAGTGAGAGCTCTGTGTGAGAAGGTGAGTCACTCACTCAGTCAGTCACTCAGTCACTCAGTCAGTCACTCAGTCACTCAGTCAGTCACTCAGTCAGTCAGTCACTCAGTCACTCAGTCAGTCACTCAGTCACTCACTCAGTCAGTCACTCACTCAGTCAATCACTCAGTCACTCACCACACTGTATCAGTGCAAGCAGCTGGGTGAGGTGCAAGTGAGAGCTCTGTGTGAGAAGGTGAGTCAGTCAGTCAGTCAGTCACTCAGTCACTCACTCAGTCACTCAGTCAGTGAGTCACTCACTCACCCAGTCAGTCAGTCACTCAGTCACTCACCACACTGTACCAGTGCAAGCAGCTGGGTGAGGTGCAAGTGAGAGCTCTGTGTGAGAAGGTGAGTCACTCACTCAGTCAGTCACTCAGTCACTCACTCAGTCACTCAGTCAGTCACTCAGTCACTCAGTCACTCAGTCACTCACTCAGTCAATCACTCAGTCACTCACCACACTGTACTAGTGCAAGCAGCTGGGTGAGTTGCAAGTGAGAGCTCTGTGTGAGAAGGTGAGTCACTCACTCAGTCAGTCACTCAGTCACTCAGTCAGTCACTTAGTCACTCACTCAGTCAGTCACTCACTCAGTCAATCACTCAGTCACTCACCACACTGTATCAGTGCAAGCAGCTGGGTGAGGTGCAAGTGAGAGCTCTGTGTGAGAAGGTGAGTCACTCAGTCAGTCAGTCAGTCACTCAGTCACTCACTCAGTCACTCAGTCAGTGAGTCACTCACTCACCCAGTCAGTCAGTCAGTCACTCAGTCACTCACCACACTGTACCAGTGCAAGCAGCTGGGTGAGGTGCAAGTGAGAGCTCTGTGTGAGAAGGTGAGTCACTCACTCAGTCAGTCACTCAGTCACTCACTCAGTCACTCAGTCAGTCACTCAGTCACTCAGTCACTCACTCAGTCAATCACTCAGTCACTCACCACACTGTATCAGTGCAAGCAGCTGGGTGAGTTGCAAGTGAGAGCTCTGTGTGAGAAGGTGAGTCACTCACTCAGTCAGTCACTCAGTCACTCAGTCAGTCACTCAGTCACTCAGTCACTCAGTCACTCAGTCACTCACTCAGTCAGTCACTCACTCAGTCAATCACTCAGTCACTCACCACACTGTATCAGTGCAAGCAGCTGGGTGAGGTGCAAGTGAGAGCTCTGTGTGAGAAGGTGAGTCACCCAGTGAGTCACTCACTCAGTCACTCAGTCAGTTAGTCAGTCACTCAGTCAGTCAGTCAGTGAGTCACCCAGTCAGTCAGTCACTCACCACACTGTATCAGTGCAAGCAGCTGGGTGAGGTGCAAGTGAGAGCTCTGTGTGAGAAGGTGAGTCACCCAGTGAGTCACTCACTCAGTCACTCAGTCAGTTAGTCAGTCACTCAGTCAGTCAGTCAGTGAGTCACCCAGTCAGTCAGTCACTCACCACACTGTATCAGTGCAAGCAGCTGGGTGAGGTGCAAGTGAGAGCTCTGTGTGAGAAGGTGAGTCACCCAGTGAGTCACTCACTCAGTCACTCAGTCAGTTAGTCAGTCACTCAGTCAGTCAGTCAGTGAGTCACCCAGTCAGTCAGTCACTCACCACACTGTATCAGTGCAAGCAGCTGGGTGAGGTGCAAGTGAGAGCTCTGTGTGAGAAGGTGAGTCACCCAGTGAGTCACTCACTCAGTCAGTTAGTCAGTCACTCAGTCAGTCAGTCAGTGAGTCACCCAGTCAGTCAGTCACTCACCACACTGTATCAGTGCAAGCAGCTGGGTGAGGTGCAAGTGAGAGCTCTGTGTGAGAAGGTGAGTCACCCAGTGAGTCACTCACTCAGTCACTCAGTCAGTTAGTCAGTCACTCAGTCAGTCAGTCAGTGAGTCACCCAGTCAGTCAGTCACTCACCACACTGTATCAGTGCAAGCAGCTGGGTGAGGTGCAAGTGAGAGCTCTGTGTGAGAAGGTGAGTCACTCAGTCAGTCAGTCAGTCACTCAGTCACTCACTCAGTCACTCAGTCAGTCACTCACCACTCACTCTGTCTATCTATCTCCCTGTGTCTCTCTCCCTATGTCTCTCTAGGCCAAGGAGATCCTCACCAAAGAAAGTAACGTGCAAGACGTCCGCTGTCCCGTCACCGTCTGCCTCTGTCTCTCTCTCACTCTCTCTCTATCTCTGTGTCTCTGTCTCTGTGTGTCTATCTCTCTGTGTCTCTCTGTCTCTCTCTGTGTCTCACTCACTCTCTCTGTGTCTGTCTCTCTGTCTCACTCTCTCTCTCTGTGTCTCTATCTCCCTATGTCTATCTCTCTGTGTCTATCTCTAGGCCAAGGAGATCCTCACCAAGGAGAGTAACGTGCAGGATGTCCGCTGTCCCGTCACCGTCTGCGGAGACGTCCACGGACAGTTCCACGACCTCATGGAACTCTTCAAGATCGGCGGTCGGAGCCCCGACACAAACTACCTGTTCATGGGCGACTACGTGGACCGTGGCTACTACTCAGTGGAGACTGTGTCACTGCTGGTGGCACTGAAGGTCTGTGTGTCACTGTGTGTGTGTGTGTGTCACTGTGTGTGTGTGTGTCACTGTGTGTGTGTCACTGTGTGTGTGTCACTGTGTGTGTTCATGGGCGACTACGTGGACCGTGGCTACTACTCAGTGGAGACTGTGTCACTGCTGGTGGCACTGAAGGTCTGTGTGTGTGTGTGTGTCACTGTGTGTGTGTGTTCATGGGCGACTACGTAGACCGTGGCTACTACTCAGTGGAGACCGTGTCACTGCTGGTGGCACTGAAGGTCTGTGTGTGTGTGTGTGTCACTGTGTGTGTGTCACTGTGTGTGTCACTGTGTGTGTCACTGTGTGTGTTCATGGGCGACTACGTAGACCGTGGCTACTACTCTGTGGAGACCGTGTCACTGCTGGTGGCACTGAAGGTCTGTGTGTGTGTCACTGTGTGTGTCACTGTGTGTGTCACTGTGTGTGTGTGTTCATGGGCGACTACGTAGACCGTGGCTACTACTCTGTGGAGACCGTGTCACTGCTGGTGGCACTGAAGGTCTGTGTGTGTGTCACTGTGTGTGTCACTGTGTGTGTCACTGTGTGTGTGTGTGTTCATGGGCGACTACGTGGACCGTGGCTACTACTCAGTGGAGACCGTGTCACTGCTGGTGGCACTGAAGGTCTGTGTGTGTCACTGTGTGTGTCACTGTGTGTGTCACTGTGTGTGTGTGTTCATGGGCGACTACGTAGACCGTGGCTACTACTCTGTGGAGACCGTGTCACTGCTGGTGGCACTGAAGGTCTGTGTGTGTGTGTGTGTCACTGTGTGTGTGTGTGTGTCACTGTGTGTGTGTGTGTGTTCATGGGCGACTACGTGGACCGTGGCTACTACTCAGTAGAGACTGTGTCACTACTGGTAGCACTCAAGGTGTGTGTCACTGTGTGTGTGTGTCACTGTGTGTGTCACTGTGTGTGTGTCTCTGTGTGTGTGTGTGTGTCACTGTGTGTGTGTGTCACTGTGTGTGTGTGTCACTGTGTGTGTCACTGTGTGTGTGTGTGTGTCACTGTGTGTGTGTCACTGTGTGTGTCACTGTGTTTGTGTGTGTCACTGTGTGTGTGTCACTGTGTGTGTCACTGTGTGTGTGTGTCTGTGTGTCTATCTGTCTCTCTCTCTGTGTGTGTGTCTCTCTCTGTGTCTCTGTCTCTCTCTGTGTCTCTGTCTCTCTCTGTCTCTCTCTGTCTCTCTGTCTGTGTCACTCTCTCTCTCTCTGTGTCTCTGTCTCTCTGTCTCTCTCCCTCTCTACAGGTGAGGTACCCAGAGCGTATCACCATCCTACGCGGTAACCACGAGTCAAGACAGATCACACAAGTGTCTCTCTGTGTCTCTCTCTGTGTGTGTCTCTCTCTCTCTGTGTCTCTCTGTGTGTCTCTGTGTCTAGGTGAGGTACCCAGAGCGTATCACCATCCTACGCGGTAACCACGAGTCAAGGCAGATCACACAAGTGTCTCTCTGTGTCTCTCTCTGTGTGTGTCTCTCTCTCTCTCTGTGTCTCTCTGTGTGTCTCTGTGTCTAGGTGAGGTACCCAGAGCGTATCACCATCCTACGCGGTAACCACGAGTCAAGGCAGATCACACAAGTGTCTCTCTGTGTCTCTCTGTCTCTCTCTCTGTGTGTCTCTCTCTCTCTGTGTCTCTCTGTGTGTCTCTGTGTCTAGGTGAGGTACCCAGAGCGTATCACCATCCTACGCGGTAACCACGAGTCAAGGCAGATCACACAAGTGTCTCTCTGTGTCTCTCTCTGTGTGTGTCTCTCTCTCTCTGTGTCTCTCTGTGTGTCTCTGTGTCTAGGTGAGGTACCCAGAGCGTATCACCATCCTACGCGGTAACCACGAGTCAAGGCAGATCACACAAGTGTCTCTCTGTGTCTCTCTCTGTGTGTGTCTCTCTCTCTCTGTGTCTCTCTGTGTGTCTCTGTGTCTAGGTGAGGTACCCAGAGCGTATCACCATCCTACGCGGTAACCACGAGTCAAGGCAGATCACACAAGTGTCTCTCTGTGTCTCTCTCTGTGTGTGTCTCTCTCTCTCTGTGTCTCTCTGTGTGTCTCTGTGTCTAGGTGAGGTACCCAGAGCGTATCACCATCCTACGCGGTAACCACGAGTCAAGGCAGATCACACAAGTGTCTCTGTGTGTCTCTCTCTCTGTGTGTCTCTCTCTCTCTGTGTCTCTCTGTGTGTCTCTGTGTCTAGGTGAGGTACCCAGAGCGTATCACCATCCTACGCGGTAACCACGAGTCAAGGCAGATCACACAAGTGTCTCTCTGTGTCTCTCTCTGTGTGTGTCTCTCTCTCTCTGTGTCTCTCTGTGTGTCTCTGTGTCTAGGTGAGGTACCCAGAGCGTATCACCATCCTACGCGGTAACCACGAGTCAAGACAGATCACACAAGTGTCTCTCTGTGTCTCTCTCTCTGTGTGTCTCTCTCTCTCTCTGTGTCTCTCTGTGTGTCTCTGTGTCTAGGTGAGGTACCCAGAGCGTATCACCATCCTACGCGGTAACCACGAGTCAAGGCAGATCACACAAGTGTCTCTGTGTGTCTCTCTCTCTGTGTGTCTCTCTCTCTGTGTCTCTTGTGTCTCTGTGTCTAGGTGAGGTACCCAGAGGTATCACCATCCTACGCGGTAACCACGAGTCAAGGCAGATCACACAAGTGTCTCTCTGTGCTCTCTCTCTGTGTGTCTCTCTCTTGGTCTCTCTGTGTGTCTCTGTGTCTAGGTGAGGTACCCAGAGCGTATCACCATCCTACGCGGTAACCACGAGTCCAAGGCAGATCACGCAAGTGTCTCTCTGTGTCTCTCTCTGTGTGTGTCTCTCTCTCTCTGTGTCTCTCTGTGTGTCTCTGTGTCTAGGTGAGGTACCCAGAGCGT